ATAATGTGTTCCTTATCATTTTGTATACATTTTTCCCAGGTAAAGCTATTGATCGTATTGCAAATAATTCTTGCAAATACTTTTTAATAGTGCATTGTTAGTCTTTAAATCTATTTTTAAATATGGTATTTGTCATAGAAAGTGGCATTCGAGAGTCAACATTTTTAAAATGAAGATAAATGATTTATCTGAAGGTCATTTTTTAACCTAGTGATATGCTCTATGTAACGTAGAGTCCTATGAAGCACTCATATATACAGATAATTCCCCACAGATGCCACATTTAAAACACCAACAGCCAGACTGGTCTATCCATTGTTCCCCCACAATCTTGCTCTCTTATGTCCTCTACTCTGAACATCCTTTCTTTTCTCCGTAAAGACTTTGCTCATGCTCAATAAGCAGCTGTTTCTTTTTTTAAATTCATTATTGACTGTTTATATATTCCACAGCCTGAAAAATGAGCAGCCGAATTGAGAGCAGCCAATGGTGCAAGTGAGGTTTAGTAGAATATAGAGAGGAAAGCACGAGTCTATCAAGTTATCCAAATCTAGATTAAGGAATCTTACTTTAGAATTAACTTTCCAAGTTAGAATTTAGAAACAGTGTCATTAGAAGAAGCAACTGGCTAGTGGAAATGATTGTATTGCAAATAGTGACTATGGAAAGCGGTATATAATTCACACCACCACACAAAGCACAGATGAGCTTCTGGCTTCCATCTGTGTCTGTCTGCAGGAACAGGGGCGGCCCTGGCCACACTGAGGCCGTGGCAACTTACCAGATGTTCATCGAGGTTTATTCTAGGTGTGCTTAGAGGTGTTCTTCTCTTTGAGAGTACCGAGTGTTTCTTTATGCTTTTGAGGCTAGAAATTAAGAGGAGATAACAGTCAGATTTCAAGACTGTTAATAAAAGCAGGGCTGATGTCAAATCTGGCCTGTAGGGCAGAAGACCAAGAACTGGGACTGCTTGATGTTGTGACAGGCCTTTTCGTTAGGTGAAGATAAAGCCACAATTCTGGGGTGGTGGTGGTAAGGGTAGGATTTGGGGGGAAGTGGAAAGAGAGCTGTCTCCGAAACATGGCCAGGATCCAACATCAAGGAGAAAAAACATCTACTAAGTCATGCAGTTGGATGGTCTCTCTGTGTCTCACTAACTGATGTTTCTAACACTTACTGGACTTCCTCTCACTTTCACACTACTTCCTCGGTATTGATAACCATCGTGCAATCAATTTTTCTTTGATTATGAAAAACAGCACTCTGGGGGCATAGGTACAAGAAGAGCATCAGCATCCACGACTGGGCAGAAAGAAGCCTAGCAGCGGGCTCTAGGAGCCATCTAGCATTTTATCTTAACTGCCCTCCTCCTCATTTTTTTAAAAATCATAATTTTCCTTTGTTATTTTCTTGTCTTCAGCAGCAACTGTTTTGGGAGAATTAGAGGAGGCAACTGGATCCATATATTTAAGAAACATAATGTCGGAGGAGCGAAAGAAGTTTGGAGAAGTAGTTTACAAAGCTGAGACGGGATTAATAGAGACTAATGGAAATTACGCGCATGGATTTTTTGTGACGTGCCAAGCTCTTTCCACTCAATCCCCACAGCAGCACTAGGAGACAGGTATTGCGATTACCCTGTTTTATAGATTGCAAAAATGGTGCTTAGGCAGGTTAAGAAATTTGTCCAAGGTCACATGGCTAATAAGTGATGGAATCAGGAGACAAACCCGGGAGTTTCACGCCAGCGCCCATCCTCTTAGCCCCTGTGCTAGCGGGTCAGAAGTTCCAGGTAGCAAACAACCACCAGCAGAGTTTTGAGGAAAAGCTTCCCCAGGAAGACTCCAAAATACTTCAAGAGGGAGCGAACTTCCTCCTACTATGTAGGGTGGGAACTTGGGTATTAAAGAGGAGTGGTGGCCTCTTGAAGGCCCAGGAAACTTAGATACATACGAGTCAAAGATGGACTTGAAAAGAATACCTTCAGTGTCCCCATAGAATCTATAACCACCTTTCATTCAAAATTCATTCATGAGGAGAGATTGGGGGGGAAGGAGCCTGTGTTTTCAGAAGTTTATGCCTAGTGCTAATTGAGCAAATGGGCTGCATTGATGTAAAACGTATTTTTAAACAACCAAATACACAATTTTCTGGCTTGTGTATCTATAGCAGGCACTTCTCAGATTCTGGGTATTACAATCTGCATCTCCTGGAGTAACACAACCATTTTGGCAAAGGCTGGAATTGAAAGTAAATTCTCTACCCCATCTGGAACTCCCTAAGATCCAGTCTACAGGTAGGCTGGGGTAGATATCACCAGGGACTTCCACTCTGTTTCTCTTTGCTCCCATTTCATTTCCAGGGCCCTATAGTGTTTCATACTTTGGGATCTTCTTGCAAAGTTGGTTTAAGGTTTTGAAAAATCCCAAGATCCTCAAGTGGCTTATTCAATTTCATAGGGGACCCTGAAATTAATCAGTATTTGTGGGACTTTCTGAATAACGTAGGTTAACCTAGTTAGATTAGAGCATTTATTATTGAGCTCCTTCTTTGTGACAGGCATTGTGAAAACAGTGGCAAACTGCCTTCAGCCTGGAAGATCCCCAGTGCACAGCTGAGGTATAATACGGCCTTCAGACAAAGTTTCAGCACAAGGTGAAGTGTAAGGTCACGTGCACTCCAACCGCAGCCACCCCACTAGTGCCTGGTTGCTTATGTGATTCAAGAGGAATATTCTGGCATCTCCTGAACTTTGTTGTGGTTTTTTTTTAATCATTTCTCTAATATTTACTTCAAAATAGGAATACAATTTCCACTGTACCTTGCACTAACAGAAAGAGTTCATATCAAAGTCTACAAAATGATTAGCAGGTGAAATCATTCAGAATAAAAGGAACACATTGGTAGTTTCAATACATGCAAAATTCTCTTTTACCCAAAATAAAACTTTTGAAAAAGGATACTTTAAATTTACCTCAGTAGATGTTTGAAGGACTTCTTCATTTATTGTGTTTGAAGATGGTTCAAAAAAAGACCCTGTTAGTTCAAGTGCTGAAACACAGAACTGTTTCAATTAGTCCAACTATCAAATTCAACCAGATTCGAACCTCTCACAGTCAGGGCCTATGATCTGAAATCGGTGGTAATCTCAATGGTGGGAAGAAGAGTCACTTTTTTAAAAAGGGTTAGAAGTCTTTTATTATAAAGATTATGTAATAAATGTGCAGAAAGTTTGGAAAATAGGAAAACAAAATCATGGATTGTCCCACCATCCCCAAACACTTTTATATTAATATGTATTGAAAGCACTAGGCCCACTGGTAAGCAATGGGGATATATAGGAAAGCAAATGAGCTATGATCCCTGCTTTCCTGTAGTTTGTATTCTAATGGACTAGACAGACCATCAAACATACAAAACAAAAATACAATAAGAAAAAACAGGACCATATGCGATAACGGGCTATGAGAGCACACAGGAGAATGCAGTTTTGTGAATGCGAGATGTTATCTTGATGGCTCCTTGAAGAAGTTGAATTTAAAGGATAAGAAGAGGTTTGCTTCAGGGAATGGGGAGTGTGGAGAGGGGAATATTTAGAGGGTTCCTGGCAGAAGGAAAAGGAGGAACGTGAAGGGTTAGGGAGTGAGACACCACCAGCTGTCCCATATCAGGTGAGCCAGCATCACTTGATGTGACTCAGTTTTAGAGAGAGGAGGGGCGATGACTGACAGGTGGGCAGATGGTGAAGGTTCCAATACTACGTCCTGTTGATGGCGAATCTAAAGGTCAGTGGGGACTCATGTGATGACAGTATTGTGTGTCCACATGGATTCAGCTTTATAATTGTAACATGATACTGATAAAATTTATTTAAAATTAGCAACACAATGTTGCATACATCATTGCTATTTTTACTTGACATATGTCATTGGTTTTTCCCCAGTAACTATGTGGGAAATCAATTGTTGATTGATGTGTTAATTTAATCAACCATTCATTTATCATTAGACATTTTGATTACTTCTAATTTTTGTTTTTATAGGTAATGCTCAACTACCATTTTTTACTAGTTTTGCTTTATTTTTTCAGTTGTCTAGAAATTATATTATTACTATTAATTTACCATTTTGTTGAAGTATAATGACATAAATAGAAATTATATTACTTACTCAAAAGATATGAACACTTCTATAGCTTTTGGAATCCTGTGATAAATTTACTTTATCAATTTATACTGGTATCAACAAAGTAAGAATATATATCAGATTAACTACTTTTTCTTTTGGTTAATAGTCATTATAATTCTTTTAAAAAATCTCACTAATAAATCAAACACTTAATTTCTGTTTCTTTCAATATTAGCAGTATTGAACATTTTTTCACATTTTGTTTTCAATGTATATTTTTCTTTCTGAATTATCTTTTGCTGACCTCTTGATTAGCTACATTTTAATGAGACTCAGAATTTTAAAATTAATTTCTATATTTCTAAATTTAGAGTATTATTTCCCCTTCAGTGAAATGATAAATATTGAATTATTATTACTTATTTCCATAATTTAATTCTTTACTATTCAATTTTTTAATCTACCTGAAACTTATTTTCTGACTTTTAATCAATGACTTAATAGTAATTATTAAACAATCATTACTGTTATGATCTAATTTTTATCATGAGGAGTTTGTATGAAGGTTATTAAATAGATATCCATTCAGTTACAATGATTTATATCTCTATTGTTCACTCAGTACAACACTATTTTCATTATTACTGCTATATAATATATTTTAACTTGGGGGAAGAGCTATAAGCTCCCTCATTAATAATTTTTTCATATTAATTTGATAATTATACATGTTTATTCTTATAGATGAAATATAGAATAATTTCTAACTATAACTTAGATATTCTTAGTCTGAATACATACATTAAAAATGTAATATGGCAGTTAAAAGGATTTCTCAGTGCTCTAGGCAGGATGAATACAATTTCCAAATATTTATATGGCTATTTTATAAGTGGAAAGTAAGTTTTCAATGGCTCAAAGAAATCTAACTCACTTTCTTTTGCTGTTGGACCAGATGCTTTAAATGCAGGCACATACTTTGTACCGGTCCATCTGAATTTTTTCATATTAATCGAAGTCTGAACAATCACTACCTTTGTGAAATCTTCAGTGCCTTGTATCTGAAAATTGACAAAATATAAGTTAATCTGAATAAATACCATACAACTAAATGTTTCTCTGGTAAGTTACTATTCCCGACCTTCCCTAAATACCTGTGCCTGAAAATTGAACACATCATTACATATTAGGAGAGATATTAAAATTCCTGAACATGTTTGTTTTGTGAAAGTCAATATTCCACACACCTTCATTGATTTTTAAATATTTTGCTCATTTCTCTTACAAGTAAGAAAAATGATCGAGGGTTAATCATCAATGACCCCTTAAAATAACACCCAGATAGTTATTTTGTTTTTGTTTTTATTTTTATTTTTTACATGGCAAAGAGTTACTTTAAAAAACAATGGTATTCTGGGCATGTGAAGTTCAGCACAGAGAATATAGTCAATAACATTATAATAACTGTGTGTGGTGCCAGGTAGGTACGTGAATTGTTCTTGGGATCACTTTGTAAATTGTATAATTGTCTAAACACTGTGCTATACACCTGAACCTAATATAAAATAGTACTGAATGTCAACTGTAATTGAAAAATTACAGGAGCTCAAGAGATTCTTCAACTTTGTGTTGGGTTGTTTTCAGTATTCTTTGAATCACAGTGAGCGAGCTTTATGCCTAGGGGAGTGCACAGAGTTGGGTAGGTTTGGGGCTACCTCGAGAGTCTCTTGCTAGACCATCCCATCTAAATTCCCAACTAGCACCTACACCAAAGTTCTGTTATTAGGTATTCAAGAGCAGAGGTCGGGAGCCCCATAGTTAAGAAGAATGTTTTGCTTCCTGTCCCTGGGCATCCCATTGGTGCTGGTGGTGTTCCTCTTATCCTTACCCCATGGTTTTCTTGTGTCCCAGATTTACCCTGTAAGTACTTCTGGCATAGCGGTAAATGTTTTATTTAATATATTTTATATTTCTCTCAACGTGGTTGAGAGCTCATTTGAGGGCAAGTTGCAAATCTCATTTGTCTTGATCACTTCAGCATCTAGAGCTGTTTCTGAACACACTGTAGTATACAGATGATGTGCTGTGCGATTGTACATCTGAAGCCTATATAATTTGTTAACCAGTGTCACCCCAATAAATTCAATAAAAGGAAAAAAATAAAATATATACCTAATTTAATTGAATCTAGGTTCCTCTTTCCATTTAATTTCTGTAGCTGTATTTTATATGTCCATTGATTCTTCCTGACACATGCCCCATTTATTCTACCCCCAACACACCCACACACACTCATGCACACACACACACACACACTCTTCTTTCTTTCCTTCTTCACAAGGCATAGCTTCTCATTTTGATTGGAAGAAAACTTGACTGCTTAAAAACGAGATGCTTTTTACTTTTATATTCATTTCAGAGTAGCTGGGGAAATATCACTGGTACTCAGTTGAATGTGGGCCAGGAAGGACCTTTCTAGAGTACTAATGATAGAGTCCTGAGAGTATAGTCCTTTTGCAATGTGTAAATGCACTTAATAGGCCCTCTTTTGCTGTTTACAACTGCAACAACATCTAATTGTGGCTAAAATGTACAGCTTGGCCTGCCTCAGTGACATTGAACAGGAATAGCTTGGTGTTTGGGCTACCCAGTGACAAAGCAATCAATGAACTTGGGATGCTTGTGTGTTTATGGAGTGGTATGGGAAAGGGACAGGATAGGAAGGTGGAAAAGTGACAATATTTTTTAAAAATATATCTTTATTGATTTCAGAGAGAGGAAGGGAGAGAGAGAGAGATAGAAACATCAATGATGAGTCACTGATCGGCTGCAGCCTGCAACCCGGGCACATGCCCTGACCTGCAATCGAACCCCAGTCTCCTGGATCCTAGGTCAATGCTCAACCGCTGAGCCATGCCTGGCCGGCGTGACAATTTTTTTAACACTAATACATTGTTGGACATATGGCACATTGACCTGAAGACATGAATCAATATTTCTTTACCTGGTGGCATGTTAAAGGAATTAAGGAAGGTGCTTTATAAACTTTTCTTAATTGGCAATCTTCCACAACTCCATTTATGAGGATGACATAAATTACAGTTTCATCATAGATATCACACTTGGTGCCCTTTGGTATATCTTTAACACAAACATTACAGAGTTTTAATTGCATCTTGTAGTTCCAATCCTGGATGGAAAAAAAAATTTGTAGTGTACTGTTTGTTTATCAAGTTTAATATAAATTCCTAAATAGTTAATTTCTAACAGTACTTGAACGCAATTCCACTTAGCAAAAAGGACACGTTTACATAAACACTTCTTACCTCATAGGATAAACGTTCCCTGATTTTTTTGGCAGTAATAGAAAGTCCAAGTTTTAGCCACATTTTATATTCCATTTGAGGACAGCATTGTTTAAAAGTTCTATACAAGTGGTTTTTGGGAATAAAACATGTCTGGAAAAAGAGGGATATGAACTTAATATTTTATTCTGTGCACCTATAGCTTAAGGATATAAGTTTTACTCATTTATCTATAATATTGAAGCTAAGAATTTAAATTATACAAGATTCATATTATTGCCTGGAAACCTAATAAAATGTTTATATTAATAAACATTTGTGTGATCTTATTATGCACTAAATATTAAAGACTATATGATCCGATGAGAGATTCTTTATTTTTCTTACAGATTCTGAAAAGAAATAGAAAGCAAAGTATCAAAAAGCATTTAACTTTTTTAACTAAAGATGTAAATATTTTTATAAATACATTCTTTGAGGGGAGCAAACCTTTCAGGCAACAATGAAATGCTGCTGCTAACAACAAAAATAGACTATTGGCTGTTAGGAATACGGTGCTCTGAATGTATAAGACATTGTGTATGTTGGCTTTAGTTTCTCTTGTGTAAGCACCTGTGAGTGGGATTGCCCTGACCAGGAATCAACCCCGACTCCTGGAGCATAGGCCGACGCTCAACTGCTGAGCCATGCTGGCCGGGCTCTTCGTCCTTTTAATTTACATTTCTCTGAGAGCTAATGATATTGAGCATCTTCTTCATGTGTTTATTGGCCATTTGTACATTCCTTTGCTAAGTGTCTGTTCAAATCCTTTGTCCAGTTTTTAACTTGGTAACTTGTCTTATTTCTGAGTTGTAGGACTTATTTAAAGGTTCCTTTGTCAAGTCCTTTTTTAGATAAAGGTATTGTGACCACCCCCGTGCTCTCCGACAGTTGACTTTTTCGTATTTTTCATGGTGTCATTTTAAAAAGCAGAAGACTTTAATTTCAGTGACATCAGGTTTATCAATATTTCCTTTTGTGGCTGGTGCTTGTTTGTGTCCTGGCTAAGAAATCTTTGCTTATTCAGGATCTCTTGTGTTTTCTTCTGGATTGTTTTATGGTTGTAGTTTTTATGTTCAGGTCCATCGTAATTCCCAATTAATTTCTGTGCATAGTGTTCCATTGCTTCCACAGGGATATCTAGTTTCTCAGGATCATTTGTTGAAAATACCATTATTGTCAAAAATCAGTTGACTATGTGAGTGTGGACTTACTTCCGAATTCCATCCCGTTTCATTGATCTATACTGTCTTCACCTTAGGCCAATGCCATGTAAACTTGATCATTATAGATTTATAATGTCTTTGAATCAGGTACTGTAGGTCACCTACTGTTATTCTCTATCAAATTTGTTTTATCTATTCTAAGTCCTTTGCATTTCCATATAAATTTTACAGGCAGCTTGAACATTTCTGTAAGATTTCATTGAGATTGCATTAAATCTATAGATCAATTTGGGAAGAATGGACATCTTAATAAAATTATGGCTTCCAATCCATGAAGTTGTTCTACCTCTCTATTTAGAGCTTGTATGAGTTCTCAAGAAAATATTCTGTAGTTTTCATTGTAGAGGGCTTGCATATCTTTTGTTAACTGTATTCTTTCCACTTATCTAGTACAATCGGGCTAGAAAGAGAAATAAACTCACATAAAAATTATAAAGAAAACACTAAAATTGTCACTGTAGATTACATTATATCTACACTTCAAAAATCATAATCTACCAAAACTAACTAGAATTTGTAGCAAATTTAGCAATGTAGCAAGATACAACTTCAAATTCCAAAAATTAATTGCATTTTCATATCCAAGCAACAAACAACCGGAAACAAATTTCTTCTTTTTTTTACAAAAAAATCAACAACAACAACATTGAAAGAGATAAAATGGCCCAGCAAACATTTATTTCCCAGACATTTGCTTTGCCATCTCCAGGCAAACTGCTTTCCTCCCCTTCAGAGCCCCAAACGACTATTCCCCCTTCCCCTTAGCTCAAGGATGCATTTGTCCTGGCCTGATTTCTCCTAGCACCCATATTCTTCTAAAACTTTGTACGCACATATGTAATTACACCTGGTCATTTTCTTCTGTGAATCTGTCTTACGTCCTTTTAAGTATTCGACCAGCCAGAAGACCTCAGAGGGGAAAGGGGACATTTCCCCAACACCTCAAAATGACAAAACAGAGCCTTAAACGTCCCTAACCCCTGGCACTTCTTGACCTCTAATATATCTGTTCCATTCTTAGCAATCTGGTAAGTTTAGTTTTGTCTCACCCTGAGCCTGTACAGCTCGGTCTCCCTGGGGCAGCTCCTTGGCCCGGCCCTGCAGATCGCCACCAGGTTGGCTGCCACAGCCCCCGACCTGTCCCCTCCCAGCTCAGCAGGACCACTTCCTTCTGTTTGGGGCATTGTTGCTTGTGATTGGAAACTGCCCTAGGCGCAGGGTCAGGGTGGATGTGGGGCTTATATTGGGTGAGTTTTTCTTCTCTCAAGGTCTCTAGGCTTACACTCCCTGTTTTCCAGTGGCTGACAACATTTGCCTCGAATATTTTGTCAAGTTCTATGGTTGTTTGTCGTGGGTGTGCTAGTTATGCGACCGGTCACTTCCGGTAGCCAGAAGCAGAAGGACAGAATATTTCTATGCAGTCCCAAGCGTTGTACAATTTCACTTGTAAATATTCTAGTATGCACTGCTGAATGATAGGGGCCTTTCAAAGCTTTTCCTTGCCGCCTTCCTCCTTCCACCCTCTTTTTATGCCACTGATTTGCGGGGCGTAAAATAGGCCATTTGACCTGCAGGGCCTCCCACATTCTAGATTTATCTAATTATTTTCTCCTGGTGTCAATTAACTTGTTTCTCTCCTTCCTGCATTTTCTGTTAACTGGTTCTATCTAGAGGCCTCAGGTTTTTCTCTTTTCTTGTATTAGAAGACTTCAAGGGCTGGCAAGAGGACTTCAGCTACATCATATCATGAGGTACCCGATACTAAGTTGTTCCACTTTTAATGAAGCTAAGATTGTTCTTAGTATCAGCCTGGCACTTTCATTATAAATTTTACCATTAATACTCCACATCAATTGATGGTTGTAGCTTAGATCCGTTATTTCATTAGGGAAGGCATGATGTAGATATTCTAATTCTCTCATTCTATCTATGTTAGCTGGGATTCTTCACAAAAAATTTTTTTCCTCATTATTTTTTTTCTTGTTACCTTGGGAGAATTCATAGAGGAAAGGCAGGATACATGTTTCATTCTTTCTATTGATATCTCAGCAACCTTATTGGAAATTTTTAAAAATTGGTGTCATTATGACTTACTGATTTTTATGTATTTATGGGGTTCAATTGTTTGCTGTCATTGTTCTTTTTGAGTTCAAATTAGGCCAGTGGGAGCCCTTGTTGATTTAAGGATTTTGTCTTCAATCTTGTCTAGGGAAACTTCCATCCGCTTTGCTCAACTTTTCTATTAATAGATCCTGGCTGTCTGACTTTTTCCCTTTTTAACCTTCCAAATTTTGTACTGATAGTTAACACATCCCACCTAATTTCCCCATGAGAGATCTCATATGATTGTGTTTTGTTTTGTTTTTTGATTAAATATTTCTTTCTTTCAATATGATAGATTAATTTTGCAAGGCATTTTGTTAGGACACTATACCAGGTAAATACAATTCTGTTAACAAGTTCTGTTCCTTTACCATTCTTAGTTTTTTTAAAATATGTTTTTATTGATTTCAGAGAGAGGAAGGGAGAGGGAGAGAGAGAGATAGAAACATGAATGATGAGAGAGAGTCGTTGATAAGGGGCCTCCTGCACACCCCCAGCTGGGGACCGAGCCGGCAACCCCCGGCATGTGCCCTGACCGGGAATCGAACCGTGACCTCCTGGTTTACAGCTGGCCGCTCAACCACTGAGCCATGCTGGCCAGGCACCATTCCATTGTTTGTTTGTTTTTTAAATCTCCACTAGATGGTAAGCATGTAATGAGTACAAAGATAAGCTTAAATTTGATACTAGATATTTAACAAGATACAACAGTAAGACATAAGGTGATGTTTTCTGACCTCCACTACAGTTTTGCAGATGGCAGAATATTTCATGGGTTCATTAGTTAAACAGTTTAGCTCTCCTATTATTTCCCCACTGATCACATAGTCTGAGTAAGTTATCTGAAGATCTTTTTCCTCCGACTGAGGGAGTGTTTGGTCAATTATCAAACCTGGTTTTGATCTTTGAAGCTGTTCAGGAACAAAAAAAGAGAGAAATATGTATGCCAGTTAATTTACCAAAATTATCTAATTTATGCCTTTCTTTTCTTTTGGTTTTAACAATTTCATATGTACATATTATTTTGAGAATATTTATTACTCATAGATTTTAAGCATATTTATTAAATTAGTAATGACTTAGAAACAAAGCATTCTTGCATACTTAAATCTTTCTGATTCCCCCTACCCAGCCAACCTATACCTGCCTTAAATGGCTTAACCCCCAACTCAGACAAAAGCAAGATGAATTACAATTTATATTATAATTTTTCATCTTAAAGGTGATCCTTTTAATTTTTTGTTATCTATGGGAAAGTCTGGTTTCATTTGCTCAACATTATGTTTCTGAGATTCATCTACAATGTTATTTATTATGTTTGAACAAGAAAAATTGCTGTTTGGATGGCAGCTGCTGACCTAAAAAAGGAACAATGCAGTTCTTAACATAGAAAACTACTAATTGTCAATTTTATAAAGTTTTTAACTAATGCTCACAAGGAGATTTAGAAATAATTTTGTCTTACCTTTATCATGCCTGAAATAATTATATAAATTCCTTTGGGCTCATCACCTTCTTCAAATATATCATTTCCACAATCAAATGTTTTAAGTTTGGCTCTGTCCTAGAAAATATTCACCAAATACACACTATAAACAATATTTTAAAAGTAAATATCACTTAATAAGATTTCAGGTATTGCATTAGTAATAAATTTGTAAGAGAGAACAGAAATTATAAATAGCAAAGAGAAGAAGGTGAATATTCCTAAATGCACGTACTGTCAGATGGGGTGTTTATACATGGGTTAGGAAAGAAATAATCTAATCTAGGAATAAGAATGTAATGGAAAGATGACAATATTTTATCTGGATGAAAAACAATCAGGACAGATGCAGGCTAACGGCACATATCTGTTTCATGCATACTCATGCTCTTAAACATCTAATGAAGTAAATAAAAATTTATTTGTTAAAAATATTTTAATCAGGTCAACAAATATAATTGGTCTTTTAGCACCAAGTACATATAGACAAGGAATGTTATTAAGACAAGGTAGGCCCATTTGTTTATTCCACAAACACTTATTGAGCACCCACTATTCAATATGCAGGAGATGAGTATTCAGAAAATGGGTGAGCTAAAAAATACAGTTTGGGAGGGAGATATAAAGGTGATTATAATGTAATGTACTCAGTGTTGTAATAAAGCTATATAATGAGTACAATGGTGACACCTTTGGTCCACAGGATAATCTACTGGTAGGGTGTTTGACCCCAAAGCCTCTTTTTCTAAGTACCTTCAGTGGAGATGCTTACAGAGAAGCAATAATCAGGGAAAGTTTGAGAAACGGGTGAGAAAAAGGGCATTTCAGAGCAGTAAATAGCACCCACAGTGGAATGGAATTAGGAAACAGTATGAAGTGCTTGGTTCAGTATAGAATATAGGCTATATGATGAATGGGCAACAGGCAGTGAAGATGGAGAGGCAGGCAGGAAGCAGGCTGTAGAAGACTTTGCAGTCACTCAAAGGGATTTTGATTTTATCCTATAGGCAATAAAGGACACCTAAAGAATTTTAACCTGGAGAATATCATGGTTAAATCATTATTTTTTAAAAGATCACTTGTGGGTACATTAAAGATGATATTTCCTTAAAGAGGATATTATTAAGAAATAAAAATGTTACCTGAATAAAGCTTATCTGGTCTTTGTCTTTATCTAGCCATGGAATATGGTATAGTGCTTCAGCAAGAGTAAGTGGCTTGATAATAGGTTGAAAATCCAACAACTCTCTTTTTTTGTCCATTATTAACTAAAAATCACAAAATTTAAGAAAGAAGATGAACAAAAGTAGTGTTCACAGAATGTTTAAAACAATTATGGCTTTGTACTGTTTATTTTTCTTGCTTTTCTGAGACTTTGGTTTTTCCATGGAAACGTCCAACTTCTCTCCTCTTACAGCATTTTTCTGCTGTCATATCCTACAGTCGTAGATCAAACTTTTAAAAGTAAACCTCTTTACTGAAATGCAGCAGATAGGCAAAAAAAATGCACAGATCGTAAAAGTTCACTCAAAGAACATTGACAATGTGAAAACATCTGTGTAGCCAGAATCCAAATTAAGAAATAAAACATCTACTGTATCTTAGAATCCTCCCTTATGTTCTCTACTAGTTATTGCTCCTATCCAAAGTTAATCGTTGCTCTATCACCAGAGTCTAGCTTTGTCTGGGTTTGAGCTTTATTTACATAAAATCAAAGAGCATGTACTTGTTTGTGTCCGGTTCCATTTGCTCAGCATTGTGTTTCCGAGATTCATCTACAATGTTGCAGGGAGCAAAAATTCGTTCATGTCATTTTCATTGTTGTATAGGATTATGTTGTATTATTATACCATAGCATTATTGATTACTGATTAACACTTTGGTTGCTCCAGTTTGGGGCTTTGTAATGCTGCTATGAGTGTTTGCTGTACATATGTACATAGTTCTGTTAAATATATGGTTACATAATCTAATTGCTATGTCATAGTATATATGGTCAAATTTAGTAGATTTTGCCAATTTTCTAAAGCGGTTGCATCAAATCACACTCCCACTCTAATGTCCAATTGTTCCAACATTTTTTTACCCTTGGTATTGTCAGTTTAAAAAAAAATTAAGAATTCTGGCGGTTGTGTATTGGTCATTCATTTTAGTTTTAATTTGTATTAAGCTTATGAAATGATATTTGGCACATTTTGTTATGTTTATTGGCTGTTTGAATGCCCTCTGTTATTCAGTGCCTATTCGAGTCTTTTGCCCATTTAAAAAAAAAGTGTTTTCTGTCTTATTCCTATTGATTCATAAGATAATTTTATATACGGTGTTAGGGAAGAGTCCAAGCATAGAAAGAGGTGATCCTTCACTATGACAAGACAGGAGAGAGAAACTGACCACTGGAGCTACAGGAAGGAAACTCTCTATGGTGTGTGCTTTGTTCTAGAGAATTATTTTAAGTTAGATATTCATATCTCAGGGATGGCTTATATTGGAAAGAGCCAAAAGTAGGTTAGAAGGTCTTAAATGACTATATATCAAATCAATATAATTGTTTTGAAGATAGTCTATCTCACCTTGTTAATTTCAGAAGCTTCAATTTTATGAAGAATTCCTTTTAACCTAAAAACCTTAATAATTTCTCTAGCCAAATTGAGCATGACATTAATCTCCTCCTTTGTTTTCATAGTGACAGCGATTTCTGGGTGATCATACTCTAAGTAGCCTGAAAAATAACAAAATATTTTCAGATGACATGAGGACATTGTTTAAATACTTCATTTAGACAATAAGCTAATATTTCTGCTCTAAACCCGTGGAAGGCAGCCCTCAGTACAGGAAAATGTCTCTCTTCCTGATGAAGCTTCTGCAATTAACCATAATTCACCAGCTGTTGCAGAGCCCTGCCTGCCATTTTCTTGACTTCAGTTCAAAATTGTGCCATAAAGGAGGACAGACAGCCTCAGTGTTAGGATTAACACTTGCACTGGACACTTGAGAGGCTCTCCTGGGCTCTAGGTCTGGAGTTCATGGCCTGCTTTTCTATTCTGTTTGACTCAGGAGTTTTGACGACAAACTCCGCGCTTAGCTGTGGTTAAGTCTTTCACTCAGCCTGGGTCATTTTACACTCACCCTGCCTGTGCCTCAACATGCCTCACCCCCCACGCTCCCTGCCTGTCTAGTCTGGATTCCTAGGCGCCCACGAGAATTTCATTCTCTTGGATTGTACCTTTGGCTTTTCCTTGGGCATGGTATCTCGTGTGAAGCGACAGCTATCTTCCACGCAAGCTCTCCCAAGCATGGCCTCATTCCCAGGCTTGCTGTGCCCTTTTGCTCCCCACCACCTGGTACCCAAATCCCTTCTCCTCATGCATGAACACTATACCACGAGGAATGTGTCTGTCCTACTCCTGGGATTTGTCCTGTGCTAGGAGCGTGACTCGGCATGGTGCTGGGCGTAGGCTGTGGCTACGTTTGGGCATCGAGCCTTCCAGAAGCCGCAGCAGAGGTCTGTTCTAAAGCCTAAACCCTCAGACAGCAGCCCTGTGGCAAGTGGCACGAAAAAAATAACTTCTTTCGTCGCTCAGGAAGGTCTGCTCACTTCTGGTTTGGGAGAGAGCAGAATTTATAAGGCACTGATAGCGTGTGTAATCATGCCATGCAAGTGCGTTTTCTTTAAACAGAAATTAAGAGGCCTGCATTGTGCCATAAGGCAGAGAGGGCAAGTCCCGAGAGGGAACGTTATACTATTTGGTCCAGCCGAAAGTGTGACCATATCGATTGTTGAAGTTATTTATTGGTAGTGAGTGGGTTCCCTCAAAGGGGAGTTTATGTATCAAAACCACTGATGGTAAGAGATGAGCAGGACCCTTTGGGGTGAGCGCTACCTACCTAGCTCTCTCATAGCATGCGCCGTATTCCGCATCACCCTCTTTAGTAACACCTAGGAAACAAAAGACACATTACCCCCACTGGAAAACAGACCGTTATAAGATGCCTGAACATTTGCACCCGATGGAGTTTTAACCTAAGTGAATAACTAAGGGAAAATACGGAGAACTTTTCTGTGATTGGGATTGAATCGTGTGCAGTGAATCCTGTGTTGCTCCAGCGAGCGTGGTGGAGAGGGTGGGAAGCCACACCACCCAGGCTGGTCTTGAGGAGCCTGAAGGCGAGTCATCTATTTGGCTTTAAAGTAACTTGCTTTAGGATCCTGTTGGTTCTGAAAAACGTGGGCATGGTAGGTGCTTTGTCGCTCAACTTTATGACAGCCTCCAACTTTGGGGTGCACATGTGGCTTTCAACCCTAAGTGAGTTAGGTTTAGCCAAGCTGTGCCAGAGCAAAAATGAGGACATCTTAGAGATTCAAGTCCTCTTGTATTTCCTACTGGGTAGCCTCAATTTGAAGTACTAAGTAGGAGTGGTTAGGAAAAGTAACAAAATTCAGGAAAATAGTTTTAAAATTATAGGTGGTGAAGGGAGGGAAGATATGCTTTTTGTGTTCTACTACATGCAAGGTGCGGAAAAAGTAAGCTTACCGTTGTGAGCATGAGAAACACAGTTTATTCTTGTATTATTATTTACTAATTGTTGTGTTATTTTCCATACAAACAACTATAAACCTACTTTGCCCCCCTTGTATTGAATGTTCAGCTTACTCAAGTACAAAGCTTTGGACATATGACATATAGCATTCAAATATTCTAAACTGCCTTGAAAGGTAAGACATAGCTGACAAACTTGTGTGCCCATATCAGTGTGAATATGCCTCAGCCGAGAAAATAAAAATTGAAAGCTAGAACTTAGGCCCTAGAGTTCCCTTTGCCATTTACGTGTTCTGGGGCCTAATCATTTTAACCTCTCTTGGCTTCATTTTCTCCTCTGCAAAATGAGGGAATTAGACAAGGTTTCCCTCTAGATGAGTTATTATTACTTCTTTCTGTTTGCCAGGGCCTCATCCTTTACTTCTTTTATTATTTACTGTGGGAAAATCGGGGCTAGAGAGAAACAGAAAGAATCTTTGTGAATTATGAGGAAGCTCAACAGCGCCACCACTTCCCGTCCTCCAGGATTTCTTATGTAAAGTATCTGCAGCCTGACAGATCCTGGAACTTGCATTGGAAGGGTACTGAACGCTTCACATGGGTTTCACAATTGCCTCGGCAAGGACTGAAAGGCATGTTCCAAGAGTTTTGTGACTTGTTAATATGGCACAGACACTTTAGTAAGGATGCATTTCACTAATATAAATGTGGACTAGTTTAAGTTTTACAAATATTACCTAGCAAACCACAGATCAAAGACCACATCTACATATACAGACAGAGAACATGATGGGTGAGGGCAAATGAGGGGGTGGGGAAAATAAAGCCTTTTCTTAGTATTTCCTTTTTCTCACCTGTTTAATCTGTTTAGAACTTGCAATCTGATCAATTATAGTCCTTATGTCCGATTCACCTTGCACAAATCCTTTTAGTATAGCATACTTATAGGACAGCTGGTGACTCAACCTTTTATCTATTAATTGCAGCAACTTTGGAGTTACGAGCTGAAAAAAGAAGCCTGCTATTTAATATAAATTGTACAAATTTTAGCTGATTAGTTTAACTAAAATAGATAATATTAAGGAACGACATGCCCTCAACAGTAACTGCAGTAACCTGTCAAGGTTCTTGTTACTGTACTCACGGTATCTTTGAACTGCATGGATAGAACTATTTCCCTATTACTAATAATGCTGGGCACCTGTGTAAAATGATGGCTTTATTCTTTATTTTCCTTGCAGAATTGTATGCTATTTTCAACTGGTTTAAATTCTTGGAAAACAATGCAATTGATATTTTTCTGGTCTTAAGTATAAAATGACTGTCTACAAGGCACTGTCACCGTTACCTGCCAAACCTCCTACTAAACTTTTTACTAGATAGTTCATTTGGGGTAGAACGTACCACAACTCTATTCCCTCTTCGACCCCCACAATTAATTTCTCACTGTTTCTTTGCTGAGGGCTTAAGTCTCCGGGTTATCTGTCACCATTGTAGAGTCCTCTAACTTCAGCAGAGTTGGCTGCTCCCTGTTTTCCTGTCCATGCTCCATAATCTTCATACTCTGCCCTCCAACCACCTGCCATCAGTCTTTGTAGAGCTTATATTCATCCTTCAAGGTTCAGTTCAAGTGTCAACTAGTAAAAGAAGTCTTTTATATCCCACTAGTGTTCCGTGCATACTACCGTCTTGTATTTACCCTACCTACCCTTCTTCAATAAGCTGTCTGGGGGCAGAGACTATATCTAATTCATCTTCACATTCCAAGGGCTTACCATTTGACATAAGGATTAAGAATTTTTTGACTATATAAACAAACTTTTCTTAAGTGGCTTACCAATTTCTTCATTTAAAATATATGGGCCCGGCCAGTGTTGCTCAGTGGTAGAGCACTGGCCTATGAACCAGGAGGTCATGGTTCAATTCCTGGTCAGGGCACATGCCCAGATTGTGGGCTGGGTCCTCAGTAGAGGGCATGCAGGAGGCAGCCGATCAATGACTCTCTCATCATTGATGTTTCCATCTCTCTGTCTCTCCCTCTCTCTTCCTCTCTTTGAAATCAAGAAAGATATGTTTAAAAACTAAAATATAGACATCAGCCCAACAGAAGTGGAAGCCATAAAACTAGTCAACTTATTTTAGTTTACATTTTATAAAATGGTCAGAAGAATTTGAAATTGCATGATTTAATAGTTCTTTACCTTCAAAATTCGTAGTATTCGAATAATTCGAACAGTTTTAAAAAATACCACCAATTGAATCAAATTAAAAGAATTAACAATGGTACGTGACTCAACAATTATTACATCTATGATGCCAATTAATGTAATTCCTAATTCAAATAGGTTCCAGGTATGCAAAAAATATTCCTTCCTCATTGCTGCTATCTGTTGATTTAAAAAGAAATTATATTATTCGTTTGTGCTTTTACTATACCATTTTTCCACAATAACTGAAACATCACTAGTTAGGGTTTTCTCTGATCTACCTTAAGACTCGACTTCTCTGAAATACTACTACATGATCATATTTTAAATTAACAATTTGAAATTAAATGGTTAATATATCAAAGTCCATTCCCAAGGAGTAAATATTCAAAAGAAGTACTATTTTATGATAGTTTATGAATTCATTCCTTCTTTATTTCAAAAAACTCTTATTGAAAACCTACTGTATCTAAGAGAGTGGGAGATGTCAAAAATATTGTGGATTTCAGCCTGGGAAATTGGGTTTCCTGTGGGGTTTTAAAGAGAGTAGGTTTGTAGAAAATATATCTATTTTGAATATGCTCTTTGCGATGTCTGCCAGCTATGGCCTGTGTCACCTGAGGCTCTAGATACCAGCTGAGCTGGAGACACGAAGCGAGGAGTCACGAGGCTGGGAATGGCAGTTGACGCCAGGGAAGTGGAGAGAGAGCATGGCCTCTGAGGCCCTTTACAGTAATTCACGGCTGTGTCTCCTGTCTCAGTTTCTCTATCCCCCGCACAAATTTAACATCTTTCCAGGATGCGCCTTGACCAAGCTACCACAGCTCCAGCCTTTGGGCATGAAGCTCCTCGCCCCGCAGGGCCCCTCGCTCTCACCTGCTACGCTGCGGGCACGTGGCACCCGTTCCCTGCTTTGGCTCTCACTCACTATTCAAGGCTCAGCAGCCGCATCTCTAGCCTTGACCCTGTTCTGTGCGAGAAACTCCTGCTGCTTCTGGCCTCCACGGCACCCGCGCAGTCCTGTATTATAGTACTTAAGATACTGACTTGTAATTTTGATTAATGTTTTCTTTTTCAGCAGCCTTATACCCCTACTCACCATGATTCAAAGAAAGTACAGGAGGCAGGCAGATTCACGTTCCAGAGAAAGCGTATGCTTTATTGTAAATTAAGAAATTGCTCTGCTGTTTATAAACAGATTCCTATGGGTTTCGTGGTAGAGCCATTTCCTTCGAGCCTGCTCACACTTGGCCAGGCTGAGGAAATTCAGCGTCTGAGCCTATAAAGAGGAAGACCAGCTCCTTGTCTTATGAAGTCCCACCCACATCGCCATTTAGCCTCCACGGGTGCCTCATTTCCTTCTTATGGAAACAGGTATAAGCCGAATCATTCTCTTAGGAACTTGAAAAAAATGGTATAAAGAATAAGACTTTATCCAAATACCAAGTATTCAGAAATGTGAAGGGGTTCCCTTGGGGTCACTAGAATACAGCCACAGGCGAGGAAGAGCCTGGTGTGGAAGGTAGGTAGGTGTGTGGGCTTCAAAGCAAAAGGGGTTTGTCGAATGTAAGTTTGTCAAAGAATGTTTGGAAGTTCAGGCCATGCCACCCGCTGGCTCTCAGATGAAGAGAAGTGATTACCCTTCCTCTGAGAAAGATTCAAAAGGCTCATTCCTCTAATAGGTTGAAGAGTGTTTGGGAAAATGTTGAAAATACAGGAAGGAAATTTTAAGGGAGCATCGTTTATTAAAAAGAACAGTAACTTGGAGGGTTTGGATCCCATTTATTATTCATTAGCTATGTGACTTCAGGCCAGTTGCACAACTTATCAGACACTCAGGTCACTCATTTGTAAAATTCAAGGCATGGTATATATACATGGTGTCCCCCCAAAAATGTATACGTACTTTAACAGCCGAGAGCTCAATTGATGTTTCTTTCTTTTCAGATCTCACCCACTGGAATTAATAATTATTCAAAGTGTGTATACATTTTTGGGGAGATATATATATCCTAAAGATACACACACACACACACACACACACTCTCTTTAAAGGTTAATTTAAGGATTTGAAATGTTATAATCAAAATGACTAGTACTTTATAAGTGGATCATTTATTTTTATTGTTATTAACATAATGGATATTTAAAAAGGCACAGTACAAAGGAGCAGAACTGAACTAAATAGAAAAGAGGGTAAAGGAAATTCTAAGTGAAGGGAAGTCTGAAAACTCAACAGTGAGGATGAATCTTGAGTTAAGTAGACGGGAGACAAGAACAGGGCCGCACCGCTGGGAGTATCCTCTCAGCCGTGACGTATAACCACGTCTCCACAGTCCGGGGCTCCTGTCCTAGGGGGGCCTGACTGAATGCAGCTGTGGCTATGCGTGGCTATCACAGCAGCTTAAACGTGGCAGAGTACAAAAAATAATAGAGCTAGAGGGATCTTCACTGATTATTTAGAGGAACCCATTTTATAGAAGAAAAAAATTGAAGTTGGGAAAAGTTCAGTGACCTTGTGAACAGTTTGCCAGAGAAAACCAAAACCAGAGCCAAATTTACTGAATTATAGCTCTGCACTCTTTCCACTATAGTACATGTTACAGGATAAAATATTACATATTTTAGGGAACTCTTTACTCTCACCCTCACTCTATAACGAACCTTAACATCAATTGCTTTATTTTTTTAAATATATGAAATATCCTATGGTCACGCCAACTAACTTGGAATTTATTACATACAATGTGATGGGTTGTGAATCTCTCCACCCCACCCCCCAACATTAGCACTCTGCAGTAGCATTTTAATTTTCCACTAAAAACTTGAGACTCATTAGGTTTGTCCAAATATCATACATAATTCTTCTATTTAAATCTTCTGGCTAAAACATTTTATTTTAAAATTTCTTGATACGTATGACACAATATTGTTATCAATTTGTGGGTGTATATTTCCATTATTTAACCACTACCTTTATGTTGGATTTAAAAATTAAATTATGATATCATTTTTAGTATAAATGAGTATCTATCAATCTACTTAGCCATTTATTTATCTATTTAGTATGAAAAATAAAAAAACCAACATCCATGTGCCTACTACTCTGGTAAGTTTAAGAATTTAATACACTCCTTCAGAAAACTGTAGCTAGTGTTGAAAAATGAAGTTAGGAAATCTCCCTCTTGAATAGAGCGCGCGCACACACACACACACACACACTTACTTTAGATTTACCTTAAATAGGCACTCCAGGAAGTAAAAGGAAAGAAAAAAGAAGTTAGAATGTCTTAATTCAGTCTCATAGATGTCATCTAATGTGGGCACCCAAGTAATTACAAGAGGGAATATATTCATTAGTATCACAAGGAATCCAACAAACTCGAATTCATCAGTAAATACTATCTTATGGAAGGAACGAAGAAAGCAGTATCTGAAAAAAAGGGGAGGGGAGAGAGTTTTACCTGATAAAAGAATTACATTGAATTATTTTCATTCTATGTCCAGCTCTGTTCTAATCAGCAGGCGCTGCAGAGCCTGGTTTAGTTCTGGAGGGAGCCGTCAGCAGCTAACGCTTTCGGGCATCCTGCCTCAGATTCTCCCCTTTGGGAAACGACCAAGGCTGGTTTTGCCTCTGTCTTCCTCACCTTCCTCACCTCGCACGCATTTTGACTGTATTTTTTAAAAAATTCCTTGTCTGATGATATGTTTATTGATTTTACAGAGAGGGGAAGGAAGACACAGAGAAACCCTGATGTGAGAGAGAACCATCGATCAGTGTCCTCATACGTGCCCAACCGGGCATTGAACCCCTAAACTAGGTATGTGCCCTGCCTGGAAGAGAACTGCATTTTTTTTGGTGTACAGGACAACGCTCCAACCAACTGAGCCACCCTGCCAGGCTTCACTGTACTTTCAACAGAAATACTTTTGTTTATAAGATATGGACAATTTATACTGGAAATATTAAAAACACACACACACACGCACAGAAAATCCCTTCCACTTTCCAATAATTCCACTTCTCTGAGATAACTACTATTAACAGCTTGAATATTGTTCCAATCCTTTTGCTTATATAATCACTATCTATAAACACAAAAGAAATTATATCATACATATTGTCCTGTAATCAGCTCCCTCCCCCCCCCCTTAACAATGTATTATGAGCATCTTTCCTTGTCAAAGCATAAAATCGAGAAAAATTCAGGATGTGTGTGATGGAAGAGTTTGGGTCTACATTTTATAAAAAATTTAAAGTAATGTATATGCTTTGGAAAATATTTTCCATACCAAGTATGCTAGAGGATGAAACTGTGAATGACTTTACTTCACGTATTTTTAATTTTATGTTTAATTATTCAAATAGTATAATAATGTATTTTTATGGTTAAAATGCAAATGAAATGATTAATTAATTACTGATCAAAGATTGATTAAAGTACTGGATCACTTCCTTATTCTCAGAGGCCAATCTGTTACACAGGACCTGAAACTTTTAAAATTTGGTGTCCTATTTAAGAAAAGAACATAAAACATGAACACATATATGAGCCTGTCCTTAAACTGGTGGGGCCCTCCAAGCCTCCAGGCAGTGAGGCTGCTTTTCTTGCCTTCTTCCAGCAACAAAGTCATATCTGGCACAGTGTTGCACTTGAGGTTACCTTTTGCCTAAATTTATAGTGAACTGTAATCTGACTTGTTTATGCCACATAGGTAACTTGAAAAAGATACGATGTGGCTAATTTACAACTCCTTTAAATCTTTAATGTTGATGTTAATGTCTTGATCCTGGAATGCTAATTGCTTATTACTATTTTGGCTAGGGGCTCCACTTGGCCACCTGGCCCTTCCTCCCATAATGAGTCCTGTTCTGTAGGTCAGTTAGACAATTTGAGTGTTTGGCTAGATACTAAGTTTGTTCATCCCAATTATACACTTAGAGATTCAGGGAAATAAACACATAGTGGGCCTGCTGGACTTCTATGAGACAGACTGAGTCAGAAACTTTATATATCGTCTAGCCTAAAAGCTCCCAGTTTAACTTGAGGACTATGATGGTATTTCAAACTTTTGGTACCAGTATTGTTTTAAATGCCATATCCCCCTAGTAACTCTGGTAAAGTGACTAAAGGTCCATTTAAAAAAAGATTGAAAGAATATTTCTCCTGTATACTTGTGATATTGTTGCCATCCTTTCTCAAGGGCTCTGGACCTGAGAACTGACTTAGATCTAGAGGAAAGGTGAGAGATCATGATTTTCCTTTGCAGTACATGAGCTCATCCCTTTGCCCACCAGCTATCTGTAGAAGTGAAGTAATACTGAGTTACTGTTTGTCTATATTGCCCTTTGACATACATTATTTGTTAGCCATTCCCTGATTTGCTGTTCACAAAATAAAGTATGCCTACCCTTTCTCTGACATTTAAGTGCTGCCTGCCACTTGTCTTCTGCCATACCAAAATCCTTTTGATACAAGAAAGACCAATTCTATTGCAGCATCAACTATTGTCAACCACGTCCTGCAGAAGACCTCTATCATCGAGTTTATCACTGTTGCCTTGGTGAAGGGAAATGTCCTTCAGGTCTTCCCAGAGAAGGTCACGTGGTTGGTTCTTCATTCTCATATAATTAATCTAGTTAAATATTTCAATTTTTATCATCAGCACCTCATTTATTGTAGGTTTTTGGCCTGGTTAAGCTTCAAAAACCATCCCAGGTATGTAATAGTATCAACTCCAAGTGTCCTTGACAGAATGTTGAACCTCGCTCCACTCATCATGGATAAGACCATCAGGCCAATAAATTCGTCATGATCTAGCCTTCTGCTGCAATCTTCTTAAAGCCCATTCCCTTATGTATTCTACTAGTGTTCTCTGATATTAGTCAGGTCTTGTAATTCCTTCAGTTGATAAGTTGTAGTATCCTGAAATAAGCACTATATTTTACCCTCTAGCTGTGTTGAGGTCTGACCTTGGAAGCAATGAAAGGTGTTAGAGACTAACCTTGATACAAAGACAAGCTTCATCTTGTGATGTCTTTGCAGCATCTGAAGGTGCTGGGAGGTTATTATCTTTAGCAGGGTAGAGGCAGCTGCTTCTTCCAGGCCAGGTGTTCATGAGAACGGGGGGTTTAAGATCCTCAGGTTCTCCACCCAAGTGTTACCAGTTCCTATCTCAGGGTCCTGGTACTTTTCTATCGGAGGCATGACATTGATACAGGAGCCCTGCCAATGCTTTGCATTTATTCTTATTTGCTCAACTCTAGCTGTATTTCCCCAAATTAGATATATCATATTGATTTTTTATTCAATTATGACTAATTTAAGTTGAATTTTTAATTTTAAGAATTATAGATATTTTTCCATTTTTCTATTCAGTTTCTTTTGGTGATTGACTTGTTCATGTTTCTGAGTCCATCACTTATTAATTTCAACATTTCAGTAATACTTATGGTCCATATTGAATAATTCTAATAACTGAAGTTTTAGGGATATAAATCTGCTGATTTTCTGCTGATTCTCTTTTGTGGTTATTTGTTTCCTTGTGTGTTTGTTGATCTTTGATAGTGATGGCTTTATCCATTGGCTAGAGAACTTAATTTTGAATGGAATGTTATTCAGCACTTACTAATAAGTATTAACATTTGTTAAGTGCTTACCTAGTGCTAGTCCCTGGACTAAGAGCTTCTGCGCATACTATGTAATCTTTACAACAATCCCATCAAGCAGAGGAGAATCCAACTAGCATATTTTAGCATCTATTATATGTCAGTTACTTTGCCATATGCTTTACATAAGTCAGTCAGCTAGCCTCAAGAATATAGCACAGATATTATTATACTCATTTTTCAAATGAGGAACTGAGACCTGAAAGACTCATTCAGCTAATAAGTGATGGAGATGGGATTCTAAATCAAGCATATAACTCCAGAATCTGTATTACCCACTGAGATAAATGGCATTTTGGAGATAGTATAAAGGATACATTGACTATCAATGTATGTTTTTCAAATTTCCCTTTCTTTAAGTTATAGCAACAGAAATAATTACTCAGAAAGTTGTAGCTTAATTTAGTATTAAAGGCTTTAAAACAAATATAGCACAGAAATATCCTTTTGTTATTTATTGAGTGTGGTGGATTAGACACTCAATCTTCAATACTCTTATTGAACTGGACAAAAGAAACAAAAGCCATCCAAATTGTCAAGGAAGAAGCAAAATTATCTCTATTCATAGATGACATGATCTTATATACAGAAAATCCTAGAGAATTCCCCAAACCAAGAGCTAATGAGTGAATTCAGCAAAGCTTCAGGATACAAGATCCATATATAAAAATCAGTTGTAGTTCTATACACAAGGAATAAATAGTCCAAATGTAAAATTAAGAAAAAATTAATTTATGATAGCATCAAAAAGGAAAAATACTTAGGATTAAATTTAACTGGAAAAAAAATGGAAAAAAAAATTTAACTGAAAACTTTTGCAGTGAAAATGGTAAGACACTCCTGAAAGAAATTAAAGAAGATCTTAGAAGTGAAAAGTCATCGCATACTCACAAATTTGAAAGCTTAGTGTTGTTAAGATGACAGTACTACCCAAAGCTACTAGATTCCATGAAATTCCTATGAATATCCCAATATTCATATTTTTCCAGAAATAGACAAGCTAATTAAAAAATCTGTATACAGCCCTAGTCTGTGTGGCTCAGTTGGTGGGAGTGTTGTCCCACACACCAAAAGGTTGCGGGTTCGATTCCCAGTCAGGGCACATACCCAGGTTGTGGGGCGGTCAGGGTGCATATGGGAGGCAACCATTTGATGTTTCTCTCTTTCTCTCTCTCCTTTCCTTCTCTAAAAAATCAATGAAAATGCCCTCAGGTGAGGATTTAAAATATTTGTAGACAATTGCAAGCAACCCAGAATAGCTGCACCAATCTTAAAAAAGAGAAGTGAAGTTGATGCACTCATACTTTCTGATTTCAAAATTATCTACAAGTTGTGAAAAAAACAATTTGGTGACTTCTCAAGAAATTGAACAAAGTTATCACGTGATCCAGCAATTTCACTTACCTCGATGGGACTCCTTTTTCCTTTTTAGTATTATACACCCAGTTGAGCAATACTTTTCTAACAAAGGTAAGGACTGTTTTGCTTTCAGAATAAGTCTTTATTGTGTCAGGACTCATATATCTGAAAAATAAATAAATAAATAAATAAATAAATAAATAAATAAATAAATAATAAATCTTTAAACATGCTTTTTAAATTTTGGAATAAGTTTAATGCAGCATTGTTAGAAAGCAAAAAGACTGTTTTGTCCAGTGATGACTGGAAATGAGACATTTTCATGGACATAGGTTCAAGTCACAAAGTTGTAGATACAGTAGACATACAATTATGAAGTTATATTGTGGAGCTCACTTATAAAAAACTGGAGATACGTGGTTTAAAACAGTAGAGAGGTAAAGGTTCAGGGATAGGAACATGCTATAGTTCAAATATTTGGGATTCAACTACATACGGGCTTTTATGTTGTATCCCCCATTATCTGGTGAGGTAATGAACAAATTACCTCACTAACCTGTTTGCTCTGTAAAATGGAGGTAAAAATACCTATGCCAGCCTGGGATAATTAAATGAGAAAGTGTGTAGGAAACATCCAACCCATCTTACATATCCTCTCACCTCCTTTCTTTCACCTTCTGGGCAAGTAGTCAGGGAATTTATGGGGCAAATACAAGTGGTGGGTTAAGAGATAAAATGGTTTCTTAGAGAAGCCAGTGTAGTAAAACCCTCAAAAGACATTTTGGTGGCTCTTGTCTCAAGCTGTCTGTAGGTTTCTTCGGACTTTTCTACTGAGACAGCTTAGATCTGTGGGCTATGATTTGGTCTTGCTTAGGCAATTCCTTTGGTTTTATGAAGAACTTACCTGTTGCTGGCCAGATACTTCCTCAGAAGGACAGAGTTCTGTCCTTGGGCCTGAGGTCCTCCCTTAAAAAGTGGCTTAATGGAACATCATTGGTGACTTAAGTTCAAAGGTAGGCCTTGTCCTTCCTATTGATTATAATGTTCCCACTCTGAAATTTGGGCAATTTCCCTGCAAATTGCTGTAACAATTTGCTGTAACAGGGAAACTGATGTAACTGAAAATAAAATGGTTCAGTTCTGTGATTCAATATAATAATGTGGGAATTACATGAAAAATCACTAACGTGTTTATGACTTGATTCATTCCTAAGTTTTGAAATATTTATTGGACACCTGTTATGGTTGCTAAATAGTGGGGATAAACCATAAGCAAATACTGGTTTCTGCCCTCAAGGATTTAGCAGAGTAGTGGAGTAAAACATGCAAAAAACAATTGCCATAAAGTGTAGTAAATGCTGCTGTGGAGATAATATGTAAGAGGACATGCTGGACCCACAAAGGGGAGCACATTTAATAGAGTCATAGGGAATCAGGAAACCTTCCTGAAGGAATTAATATCTAAGATATGATCATTTCACAAGTTCTTATGAATCCTAAAATTCTGTAATATCAGTAAGTGTGTGATATGTTACAGTCCAAATGACTAAGTAATTCAGGCTCCTGCATTCCTATTTTATATCAATATGTTTACTGTTTAGACCTATATTAAGAAGAGTATGATTTTTTTGAACTGGATATTAAGATGGCTTAGCTTTGAATCCAAGCTCTGTAATTTATTAGTCAAATGACCTTGGATACATTATTTAATCTCTCTGTGCCTCACTTTCCTCATCTGCAAAATGAAGGTAATAATGATAGCACTTATCTGATAGGATTTTTAGACATAAGATTGGTAATATATGTTAAATGTTTAAGACTATATCTGACACAGGACTAAATAAATAAAAGCTCTCAGTACTCCTTTTTAAACCTGACACTCTTTCTCTCCTTAGATTTTTTTTTCTTGCCACAGGATATCCCAACACATGGGGCTGCTGATAGGAACCATCAGTAAATGGCAAAATCAACTCCAAGGCAGCCCAGCAAAGGAGCAAGTACTCAGTACAAGTGTAATTAATAGAACGTTCTCTGGGGGTTGGAACACCATTTCACTAGTCTTGATATTCCCTACAGTGCCTGGCATATAGTTTTGTGCATATTAATATTCAATGTTTATCACTTACATGTATGAATAAACATGTAATATATTCAATATTTATCACTTACATGTATGAATAAACATGTAATATATTCCGAAATTTGCCTTCGTTGTCCACTGTGAGTGTTTTCAACTCTTTACTCCCCTTCTCTCACTGTTGACCTCCCCCTTGTGTCCATTTATTCATAGGCATGTGCTGCTGCTGCCTTCTTGGAGAATTTAAGCAAGAAAAGTCAAGGCAGTGGGCTGAACTGCTCTACTGTTTTTCTGTTTGTTTGCTTGTTTTGTCTTGTTTTTACATTAATTTTTCCTGGACAATGGAGTGATAATGCTTTCAGCATGTCATTAATTCATTCTTCAAAGTACACATCATATTGTTTTAAATTGATCCCATTTGCCCAGCCCTCTTCTCAAACTACCCTAATACAAACTCAGGTCTCCTAAGCATTTGAAAGGCTTGGAGCAAGAGATGGAGAGCCTTCTACTATATATGAAATATTTAAATATTATTAACCAAGAAACCAAAATTTTAAATAAGATATTTTATCTCCCTGTCTTGACAAATATAATGTCATAATTATTTGCATGGCTAGGCTTGAAATTAAAACTCATAGACTCTCTGAAAATCTGTTCTTGAACTCTAACGAGAACATGCTCCAGTGTCTGGCTGCTTCTCGCCCCACACACAGCTTTCTCTCTCACTGTACCCCAAGCTGGGACATGTGAGCGGACACCAGGCTGACACACCTCTTAGGTTTGTACACATCATCTTGTAAGATGATGGTCCACGGGACAAGGTCCCAGAAGGTCCCACATATGAACTTAGGATCATTTGAGCAGGGAATGTTGGGATCCTTAGTATCAGGAGTGTAGACCAGAACAAGAAGCTATGTCTGGCATTGTAGCCTTCATCCTTCCATGGGGATAATCTGAGGATAACCCTTAAAACCCTGACTTTGAGGAGCTCACTGCTTAGCCTGGAAACTTACTTCTGAAGAACTCATTGCAAGTGCATGCTGAGTATTCAGAGAGGAGGTGTTGTGGCAAGATGTGCCCTTAGGGATCAAGGAAGTCTTTGACCTAGTGAGGTATTTGAGTGGTCCAAAACAAACCAACCAACCAAACAAACAAACAAACAAAACCCCGACAAACAAAAAAAGCAGTTTACTACAACTTAGGGTTGGGGGAGCAAAAGGAGAAAAGGCAGGGCATCTCAGTCAGAGGAGCAGCTTCTGAGGGAGGACAGCAAGCCAGGGAAACTGAGTGTAGGAGATCTGGCCTGATCGTGGGGTATAGAGCGGACAGTGGCTTGCACACAGAATACTGGGTGATCCCAAATTACCCGACAAAAGCAACACAACGAACTTGCACGATTTCCTACATGCCGTGGTTTAGGAGGGTGGAAATTTTCTCTTGAAGAGGTACTTACTCTCCCTTCTCACCGAAGCTTCCTGCTGCACCTACCAGCATCTGGACAGCACTCTGGGACAGAGTCTCATTTCTGTATTGTCTCTGATAGCTTGCCTAAAAGAAACATTAAGTCAAATCCTTATACAGTGTGAATAACAATGGCAATTTATTTATTCCCTTTAATGGAAAAACAATCTGTGAGAAAGAAGTCAAAATCTCCAAATAATCTAGTATCTTTATAAAAAGAATCTGTCTACAGAGTCCAGACCATAAGATCAGTGTAGAAGATAGGCCTGAGCTATGGGTGGAATCCAACTGGTTCTGTAGGGAACTAGGATCCTGCTACATATTAATTACATTTTCCAAAATCTGTGGAGTTCTGTGGCCAAATAAGTATGGGAACATACTGCAAGCTGTATTCCCATCTTAAAAGTTTGTAATGGATATTAGAATATTAAAAGCTCTGAGGAATTCTACAGTGAAGGATCCTGATTTACATTTTTAAGTCCATTTTCCCAAATATTTTCACAACAGAAGTCTGTTGTCTCCAGTCTATTATTAGCATTAAATGAACTGCTACTGTTTTGCAGATCACGGTCATTCATTTATTTATCCCATGTACTGAGAGCCCCTTCTGCTTCAGGTTCATGCTGGGGAAACCACTGTCTGACACTGCCTACGGCCACAGTGTGCTGAACACTGTTGAAAATCACTGTGTAGACCAACTTCCAAAAGTGGAATGTATGCTATAACTAAAGATTCCTGGGTTCCATTGAAGACATTCTACTTGCACAATCATTTATGGATATTAAAACATGGTTTTGATCCTAGTGGATACTAGGAACAGATATAATTGAATTTGAAGATGAGAGAATTCAATAGCATAGCATTTTTCTCCCAAAACTTAATTAAAATACTTATAAAATAATGTGACATTTAAATATGTTCCTTATTCTCTAAGGTAAGCACTGTAGCTTATGGGAAAATAAGGAAGCTGAAAATGATAATGGAACTCATGAAAGCAACACAAATGATAAAGCAGTTAGTTACTAGAAAAATGTTCATTCTTAAATCATCATTCACACCAAAATGTAAGAAGAATTTAGAGAATGGTTGATTCCTAAAAAAATCATTTATTGAACTCTCTACTATACTATTGAATTAACTGATCTCTATATGTTTTATATAAACTTATTTAATTCTTGCAACAAGTTTGTGAGGAAGGTATTCTAATCTGTATTTTATGGATGAGAAAGCTGAGGCTCAGGGAGTTAAGCAGTTTTCCCAAGATCACATTAGCAACTCCGTGTCTTCTGTTTCTCCCATATGGTATATTGCTTCTCCTATGTCATGTGTTGTCATGCTGTTCTTCTAACGAACAATAGTAGAGAAGATATTGCCCCAGTTAACAAGGGCTGTCTGAGATTTAAATAGACATTCCTAAAGCTTTGAACACTTTAATAGACTGATAAATATTATGGTTAAGAGCAGTGAACATTAGACTTGAGATTGCAGGAACCAAATCAACAAACTGAGGTAAGCATGAAAATACGTCTAGAAGGAAGGACCAAAAAGACATGAGGTGAGTTGAAAATCTAGAGTAGAGAGACCCAACCTACTTTGGAAATACAAGGTCTCCTGATTAAGAACCACACATAGAAAAAAAATTAACAAAGATGTAATACCAGAAAGCAAACATTTTAAGACAAGGAATCAAGAAGGTACATGCAGTGTATATTGCAAAAACACAGGATATTACAGGTGGAAAGAATCTAAAAGGTTGTTCAGTTAGCCTAAGTTTACTCTTTTACAGACAGGGAAGATAAAGACTGAAAGAGTAGGTCCTGAGTCACACATCATATTAACAATGAAAGCAAGACTCAAAATGGAGTCTCCTACATGGTTTTAAGGGTTCTTGAATAGTATACTTTTCTGAAATAAATTAAAAATCTGGAAGTGACTCAAAGACATGATCTCGTCAAATCTGCTGGTGAAACACAGCACCATAAGGGCATAAGTTCATCCTTCATGGCACTGCCTCAGTTGCTTAAAGAGATTATTTAGGTCTTTGGAAAAGCTGCCTTTGAGACTCAACTTGTCTGTCAGGATTGCTGCTGGAGAGAGAACAGTCATATCCGATAGACCTTTTATTTCCCAAGTTAGACTGAGCAAGTAGAATGCTTAAAAGCCTATATGGCTGGAATAGCTGAGAAACACACGACAGTTCCGTATGCAACGGGGAAGGCCCAACAGGAACATTGCAAGAGGATGAGTCATGGCAACTGGTCGATATGATATTCTGCCCTGGATAAAAAATGGTAACTAGGCTATTAGCAGTTTCCCACAGAGTCCTTTATTCTGCCGTGTTACAAAATTTATCTAATTTTTACCTAAGATTTTATATAAAAACATTCTACACTATGCTTTGCAGTTATTAGTGAACTTGGTGGCATCCTTTTATGAGAACTGGCTTGGACCCAGAGATAGGTAGTGTCTTGGAACTGGCTGCATAACACATCTGAAGGTTGATTTCAGCTGTGTTTCCTGCCATCAGGACCTGTGAAATTCCCACTTCCTCATAATAAAACACTTTTTACTTAAGCTAATTTAAGTGGATTTTTTCCTCTCTCTTACTTTTGCAGTCAAGCAGATTTCTAAGGCAATGCCAAATTTCCCTTTGCCTTTGTAAACGACCTATTAAGCTATACAAGTGAGCATAGTCAAAATATCTTCCACAAGGGAGAAAGTTTTCAGTACAATGTTAGGTCAAAAATAATTTTAAAAGTGTATGATAAAGTACTAACTATTTGTGCTGACAGAAGACGCCTGTTGGCCAGTTCCATAGCTTCAATGTTAAGGGTCTCATCTATTTCCTTGTTACAGTTTGGACAGACCACTTTTTGATGTTCTGTTGTTTCTCCTTGGCTCAGCTAAGTAAAAATAAATAAATAATAAATAAAGAAATTAATTAAATAAAAAATAATACATGAATATTAACATATTGTTTAGCATAAGCCTCTAGCAATTCATGTGCCAGTTTGGTTTGAAAAATTATAGAAAGTTTGCTAGATACAGAAAAATGTTTAGGTGAGTTTCCTCATTACTTGCACAGCTATCTAGAACATAAAATGATTGCCAGTTGCAGGGGGGAAGGAGTTGTAGCATATCTTTATCTTTACTTGGCCTTGTTAACAGTTTGTAAAAGCTACCACATACATAATCACACTTTAAACCAGTGGTTCTGAAAGTATGTTTCCCCAGTAGCAACAGCATCACCTGGGAATTGTTAGAAATGAACATTCTCAGATTCCTCCACAGACCTACTGAATCAGAAACTCTGGAGAATGGGGCATCACTGCTCCTTCTTTTGAATTTACAGCATATATTTTGTATGTACTCAAAGAGGTTGTCACTTCTTCTTTGCCCTACAGTGGTCACAAAATTCCTTAAGATCCCCTCCTTACTATTGTGGTAAATAGTTACCAATACAATGTTTCTGTCAATTATAGGTATTAAAAATTGTGAATTAATATTTATACCATTTATACTTATTTAAGGACAGTAATACCTACTTTGAAGGGATAAATAAAAGATATTACTTGCTTACTGCATATGGGTTTTGAAATACAATTGCTTTCTCAACCATGTTCCAATCTGCATTAGCAAGATCTTTGTCAAATTTGAGTGCGGAGGCTGTAGATTTGGTTGTCTCTTGAAAATGTTGAAATGTATAATAAAGTGACTTATATTTTGTTGATGTGATGTCATGCAGACCTTAGATACAAAGGGCACATTTTATCAATAGTAGAAACATCACCATTTTTATCTAAATTATAAAGCTTCCTTTTGTTCTTACTTCATGTACTAAGTAACTTTTTTAATAAAGACTCAACATAAATTGTTTAATAATAGGAACACTATCAATTTCAAAATTTCCTACTTTCATACTCCTCATAATAGCTAATATTTACTGAGTGCTTCCCATATGCTGAGAAGCGCATCTCAGCACTTTGCACGTATTAAGTTTGGTGATCATCTTGATCACCTTTTGAGCTGAGCCCCTTTTCCCAGTTTGATAGATGAGGAGACAGAGGATTAAACGCGTAGACCAAGTAAAGCAAATTGCCTTTCTCCAAGTCGGCAGGCCTCATCCAGTTTGTTGGAGGCCTGAATAGAACAAAAGGCTGAGCAAAATAAAATACACTCTCTCGGACGGATGGTCTTCAAGATGGGTCATCGATCCTCTCCTGCCTCCAGATTTGGACTGGAATTTACACCATTGTCTTTCCTGGCTCCCAGGCCTTTGAATTGCATACCCATCTTCTATGCCTATACATGCTGTACACATATAGGTACATATATATATAAGGTATGCACATATACAGAGTACATGTACATATATGTCCTACCTATATTTAAGATCACATATATGATATGTATGATATATATTTATTCCCATATATATCTCCAAATCTCATTAAGGTTTGAAGGAAGGACTCTTACTATCAGACACAAATTCCCTTTTTTTGAGCCATAGAATCTTGTTTGGAAAGCAATAATGTTTCATGAGCAAATGTTCACTGCTCTCAGTGCAAGTAAACAGATGCTCCACAGCAAGAATTTTAGGTTTATTTAGCTACTAAGTAGAACTTCTAATACTCTTTGAAAAACCTTACTTTTTTAATCTGTTTTTCCCATTTTACTATGTGAAGGCCCACAGAATTAAAAAAAAAAAGAGAGAGAGAGAAAGGAAAAAGATATTGTTGCAAATATGAGGGAGGGAAATTGGGTAATATACTATTATCCAGAAAGATGAAATTTCAGGTTGATAAAATATGCCATTAGAGTGAAAGCTCCGTGTGTAATAAAAAGGGTAATGGAGCAGCTAAGAATATAATGGATTAAAAGCATCAAGGCAATGTGTTCCTAGTTCTTAACTGCCGTCACCTAGTCGTGTGTGGCATTGGGCAAGGACTTTGAACTCTCTAAATCTCATTTTCTCAATTGTTAAAAAAGTAGGGGATTAAAATAGACACATTACGTTATGCAAACATCCTCCTGAAACTGCCTTTCCTGCTTCTCTCCTTATCACTCACCTCCCCAAATTAGTTATCTACAGAACTAGGGTGGTCTTTTTAAGGCCTTAGTCATATACTAATTACACATATAGCTTCTTCAGTAATCTACCACCTGTTGTGTTTTATAATTTATTTATATGTGATTTGTTTACTTTGATGCACACATAACCCTGATATTACCTTATTTGACTTTTTTACTGACTACTTATCTCCAATGTAAGCTCTATCAACTCAGAAATCTGATTGGTTTTCGTAAGGTATCACTGTCAGTTAAAATGGTGCCTGGCATATAGGAGGCTCTTAATAAAATTTGTCAAATAATTGAATAAACTTACTGTATTATGTTACTTAAACTGGACTAATGTAAATAAGTTTTTTTGTTTTTTTAAATAAACAAGCTTATTGGCCTAAGCCTTTCATATGACTTTACATAGAGATCCAATTTCCTCTTCAATTAGACATTGTCGATTTGCTTATATAGCTTCTTCCTTCATTTTTACCAATTCTTTAGCATATTTAAAATACTTCTCTCTTCACTCAGAATAGTAATTGGTAGGCTTACCTAGTTTACTAACTACCATCGGCAAAACAACTCTATTGACAACCAGGGTAATGAGGCATACTGACACTGCATGAAATAATACCTAGAATTGAAAAAAACACAAATTACTGATGACAATTTCATATAATATCTTTTATATTTACTAATGTAAATTAAGCTAGGCTGTACTAGGCAGTGATATGTTTGCTCCACCTCCTACTTTGTGTCTCTGTCATCCCTTCATTATCATCAAGGAAGAGCAATTAATGTTTTTGGTGCCATTTGTTTTCTGTCTCTTATATCCCAAGTTGGTCTCCACAGACGAGTGGAGCAACACTTTTCAATCTGAGACTATACACTTCTGTTGATTTATGGAATTCTGACTTCCAGAATTTTTGTTAAACCCCTCGCCAGTTCTCTGTTCTTTGGTCACAGATAGAAGGGACAGAGCATGAAACCACGCCAGTGACCCTTCCCAATCAATCCCTACCCCATGAGAGGCGACTACTGTTCTAATTTCTGTCTATAGATAAAAACTGCCAATTTAAAAACCTTCATATAAATCGAATATTAGGTTTCTTATTATAGTTTCAATTTGTATTTTCCTGGAGTAATGTAATGTTGTTGAGCATTTTAAATGTGCTTCGTAGTACACATATTTGTCTTTAATCTTCTTACCAGGCTCTTCTATAGAGTGAAACGTTTTTATTTTTATAAAGAATAATTTATTTTGTGGATTGTGCTCTTGGTGTTAAATCTAAGAACTCTGCCCAATGCTATATTTCACAGATTTTATTCCAAGATTTAAAAAAAAATTAGCAGTTTTACATTTTATATTTAATTCCATAATCCATTTTGAATTAATTTTTGGGAAAGATGTGAGACTTAGGTCAATGCTAATTTTTTTGCCTATGAATGTCAAATTCTTCAGCATCATTTGTTAATAAGACTATTCATTTTCTACTAATAGCTTTTGTACCTTTATCAAAAATCAGTTGAGAATATTTGTTTGAATGTATTTCTAGGTTCTTTATTCTGTTCCATGTGTTTTTCTCTCTGCCAATGTTGCATATATGGTTTTATATGCAATTTTATATGCAATTAGGTTTTTATCCAAAATGTGTCCAAAAATATTGGTTTAACATTCAAAAAACCATATGCATGTATATCTGCCAATATAGTCTCCATTACTATAAATGTAATAATGTCTTAAAATTAGGTATACTGACTCCTTCCACTTTATTCTTCTTTTCCAAAATTGTTTTTGTTATTTTAATTCTCTTGCCTTTTATTTTCTTGAACAATTATACATGAGATTGTATCTTTAATTTGTTTCCTTGAATCAATTGCTAGTATATAGAAATGCATTTGATTTTTTTATACTTATATTCTGAGACCTTGATTAACTCATTCATTAGTTCTTCTGGTTTTTTTTAAATCCTTGGGATTTTCTATATAGATAATCATACCATCTGCAAATAGAGATAGTTTAAATTTCTTTTCAATATTCAATGCATATTTTCTTTGCTTGTCTTATGGTGCAGGCTACAACTTCCATCATGATATTCAATAAGAGCAGTGAGAGTAGACATTCTTGCACTGTTCTCAATATTAGGAAGAAAGCAGTCTTTTATTATTAATTATAATAATATCTATAGATTTTTTGTAGATGTTCTTTATGGACAGTAGGAAGTTCCATTTTATTTCTATTTTTTGAGAGATTTTATTATAAATGGATATTGAATTTTGTTAGATGCTTTTTCTACATCAATGATACTATTCTGTAAATGCCAACTACATCCTATTGGTTGATGGTGTTTGTTCATTTCCTCCATATCCTTGCTGGTTGTTGCTCTATAATTTTCTGTTTTATAATTTGTTGAAAAAAATTACAGGGAGGAGTGTTAAAGTCTCCAGATAAAATTTGCCTATTTCTCCTTTTAGTTCTTAGTTTTTGCTTCACACAATTTCCTAGTCTTGTTTGGAACATATTAATTTAAGATTGCTTATTTTTGTCCTTCTGCAGTTCAATCCACTGTTAAGCACATAAAGGAAATTCTTCATTTCAGGTATTATATTTTTCAATTATGGAATTTCTCTTTGGTTCTTTTGATTTCTTTTTTTTTTCCACAGAAGTATTCCATGTCTTCATTTCTTATGTCCATCTTTTTTTTCTCTCTTTAACTTTTTGAATGTATGCTTAATAGTGCTGCTGGTTGCAACATCTGTGACATCTCTGGGTCTGTTTCAATTGAATAATTTTCTCTCAAATTATAAGTCACATTCTCCTGCTTCTTCACATGTATAGCAATATTTGATTTTAAGTTGGACATTATGGAGTCTACATTCTTGAGAGTCTTGATTGCTGTCTTCCCTTAAAGAGTGTTGAGTTTTATTGTGTCAGTCAGTTAATGTACTGGCAGATCACATTATTCTGCTGAGGCATGGTTTTCGTCTTTCTTCGACTGAGTGTAGAGTAAACTTTACTGTAGGGTGTAATTCTCATTTCTGAGGCATGGTCTTTCTGGGGTCATGACAACACGTGTGGTGTTCATGACGTTTATACTGTACCTAGTCGGAACTCTAGCATCTGTCAGTTCTGTGTGGCCTCCAGAATGTCCAAAGCTCCCTAGTGGGTCTTTTCTGCCAGTCCTTTTCTAATTCTCTGCTTGCACGGGTTAGTTTTGGACTAATGACCCAAGGGAATCCCCATGCAGATTTCTGGAGCTCTTTCTCTTTATACTTCTTCCCTCCTTGACCTTCTGCCCCACAAATTCAAGCTGCTTCAGCAGCCCTAACTCTATTTTTTATGCTCAGTGAGACTACTGTTCTCTGTTTGGCCTCCACATCTTTGGGCCAACATTTGGAAGAAAGCCAGAGTGAATGTGAACTCACCTAATGTGTCTATCTTTCTTTCAAGGATCTAACCATGCAATGTCCTTGTCCAATAACTAAAATCAGTTGCTTTATATATTTTAACCAATTCTATAGTTATTAACTGTGGGAAGTAAGTCTGATATCCACTATTCATCATGGCCAGGGCTGGAATTCCACAGACATTTGTATTTTTTTAAAAGTTCCTGAAGCATTCTAAAGTGCTTTCAAGGTTGAGGGCCACTGAGTTAGTTAAGTATAGTTTAATAGTAGTAAGAGCTAACATTTACAGAGCAAGCCTATCAAACAATATATCAGGCTTATTTAATCCTCACAATTCTATGAACTAAACACCAATATGGTCCAATTATACAGATGGGAAACTGAGGCACTGTAGCTTACCCAAGATCATATAACTAGTGAGTAGCAGAGACAGGATTAAGTTAATATTTTTAACTTTTTACTGTAGTGCCTCTTCACGAGTATTAATAAGTTAGCTGTAGGGTTCAGCCAAATTAAAGTAAAGAAGGAGTGTTACTTTCTTCTCACCCAGTTACTACTAGTGAGGACATTTCATTAAATGATTTTATTTACTAAGGTTTTATTTTAAAGAAGGTCAACATGGCATCGTCGTCATCATCATCATCAAAGCTCATATTTATTGTACATTTACTATATGTCAAACAATATATTATGCATTTAATGTGTATTTTCAGTTTCTCATCATAACCGTTTGAGACAGTGGTGTGCTAGAGCTGACTCTTACCAGTTCATGAGAGCTGATCATTACATTTTCAGGAAGTTTATGAGCTGATTGATATGCTGTTGGTGAGAATGATCACACCACAGAAACTGGCAATTTCTACATATTAGAGCCCTCCTCCCCTGAGAATGTCACTTGCTGAACAATCACTAGCAAACCATTGGTATTATTATTAAGTCTATTTTAGAATGAAGAAACTAACATATGGGATGGGAGTGAGGGTTAAATAACTGGCTGATGGCCACACAGCAAATAGCAGCCAATTAAAAATGTCAGAACATAGATTTGTGTGCAGTGTACACCATTATACTGGTCAGAATATATGGTAATGACACTAACCTTTTTTTAAATTTATATTTATTGTTGAAAATATTACAGATATCCCCCTTCCCCCCTCCACGCTACTGACCTAATCTTGATTACTCAGGCAGGTTGAGATATGTTAAAAAGAAAGGCCATATAATATTAGATAATTTTGGTTTTAAAAGCAGTGTTTGAATATTTAGTTTTTTAATGTTTGGACTATTATTTAATTAGACACAAAATAATTTCCTTGCCTTTATTCCCTTTAAACTTGGAATTTATGTCAAAAACCACAGTGGAAGTAATAGATGCATTGTGATGTCTGAATAAAAAATTTCTTATAGAGATCTTACCTTGAGATGAGGTAGAAGAAGAGTCATGCCTATTTTGTTCTGTTGGGGAAAGTTTGGGGGTTCTATCTGGGACATAACTTCACTTGACAATGCAATGTTTTGGTTCCACCCAAGGGGGTTTTGCTCAGTGGTTAGAGCATCGGCCTGCAGACTGAAGGGTCTCAGGTTCAATTCCAGTCAAGGTGCCTACCTCAGCTGCAGGCTCGATGACTGGCCCTGGTGCGGGCCTGTGCAGGAGGTAACCAATCGATGTGTCTCACATCGATGTTTCTCTCTCTCTCTCCTTTCCACTCTGAAAAGCAATGGGAAAAAATGTCCTCTGGTGAAGATGAAAAAAAAAATGTTTTGGTTCCTAGCATCACTAAATGTAGACTCATAAAGTTGCAGAAGGCAATAGAGCCAATCATAACTAGGTTTCTGTTTTTCTTGAGTGGGTATTAGAAGTAAAAAAAACATTTACTGAGTGCATGCTCTTTACCAGATACTATTTTAAATGATTTATACGTTTTAATTCCTTCAATCTTCATAATAAACTATCTTTAGGAGTGTGAGGAAGGGATTTAAGGATCCCTAAGCTAGAGTAGGGAAGAGGAAAGTTGCCAGTTGTTCTTGCTCTGTCCCATCTTGCCATCATAGTTAAATCACTCCCACAGGCCAAGTGGGGTTGAGCTACCCCACTACAAACGCATATTTTAGTACACAGCAACAGTTTTGATTAAGTAAACAAATAAAAAATACATTTCTTTACTTGCGATTTTTCCCTCTCAGTTCCAACAGAAAGGTCAGAGTAGGCGAGCAGAAGGGCCATGCTTACATTAGGCACCCCTCTCATTTCACTCGAGACCATTATGAATGCCCAGCGCCAGCTGAACCCATCACCAAGTCGAGACAAAAGAGGGCTCAATAATAGAAAGACCAGAAGTCTAAAAGACAAAACAAATTTTGAAAAGTTATTCTCATCATAGAAACTTCTTTCCATTCCATCCTACTCTCTTCCTTCCCATCCGTCCCCCGTGGCTCTTTCCCGGACTGCTGGCATAGCATCAAAGGCAGGCAGACGGGCACTGCCCAGAGAGACATGCCAGGAGGATGGCATTCAGCTTCTGTTTTGCCCTGTTGGGGGAATAGGAGGAGAATTCCCATCACCTTTGAGTGGTGCTTTTTTCAGGCAGAAAAGGAAAGTTAGAGATATTTTGTAGATGCATGTTCTCTGTCCTAGGGCCCCAAAGAGAAATAAGAGCAAATGAAAGCATAAGAAAGAAGGAAGAGTTCTCTCTCTTTCTGTGTAGGCTTATATCTCGCTGAATCTGCATAATATCGGTCAACTGTTTCTATTTCTTCCAGTTACATATCATTCCTGTATTTCATACTAATTGTATCTGATCATTTGGGACTGATTTTCATTTACTTGGCACTAGCCAACTTGATGTAGACTCCCAACTGATTTTCCCCGACGCAAGTAGAATGCTAGCAGTTTGGGTGATGGGGGTGCAAGAGCTCTGAGACTCCGGGGACCGCATTGTTTTCCTCCCTCTGCCGTCTCTTTTCCACCTACACAGGCAGGCTCTCTTCAGCCTCCTCACACTGGAAAGGGACTACAAAAATTATTTGTCCCTTGTAAAAGGACATTTACAAAGAGGGCTTCCTTATGATTTTAAAAACCTATTTCCAACTATGATTAGTAAGAAATTATTTGTTACACAATATTAAACAAATAAAGTAAGAAAATTAAAAAAAATTTTTTGATGGGCATTTAACTTCATGAGCCCTCAGAAAAAGAAAATCCACTGGATGAAATGAACCAAATGTTAATAGTGGTTGCCTCTAGGTTGTAAGATTATAAAAAAAAATTTTTTCTTATCTTCGAAAATGTTACAGAGGTCTAACATTGCTTTGAAATGCAGTTAAAAATTGAAAACAAACAAACAAAACACCTAAGCACTAATTTGCTGATAATTCCTTGGAAAGTTTAAGAATCAAATTTTCATTCTAAGGGATGAAACATTTTTATTATTTAAAAGAATATCTTCAGGCTTATTCAGTGTCTTATTAATAGAAAACGTTAAATGATGTTCTTACCTTAAAACAGTAAGTGTGAAGTAGATATTTAATGAATAGTATATATCAGAAAATGATATATATAAATACGTATGTGCAGGAATTAGAAGTCCAATGAAAGTAAACACCATAAGAAAAGAAATAAATGCTAGACAATTCCAGAATCTGCATTTTCAGAAAGAAATTAAATATAGTTAATTACAGTTAATTAACATATTTATTGCAAGGCTCATCTATGAGTGAGGTATTGTGTTGGGCATTATCAAGAAAGTAAAGATCGATAAAGTATTTACCAACACTCACTGGGCTTATAATTTAAAGGTGCACTAAGGCAAGTAAATAAACAATTCTAAAGCAATTTTAACCAGTTTACATTTTTTCATGTAAATTAGCATCTATCTTTTGGGATTGACTTTGAAAGACTTGTTTAGGTTATAGTCACCCCACTTTGACGGAACTCCTTCAGACATCACGATTCACACAGCTAAAAATACTGACTGTGAAGTCCTTGTGTCAATAGGAAGAACTAAACTATTGATCCCAAAAGGGAACACTGAACTGCTGGTCTGATTTACATGGGGAGAGAATGAAGCCTTTGCCTAAAATCCAGGCAGCACTGAGATGTGAATGAATCTTTTATTCCCACAAATGCCGTTCCTAGATTCTCCTTTTGCGGTTCGTGAGCATGTGTTTATTCAAGTGCTCCAGAGCCCAGGAAAACTGTCATTGCCCAAACTGTGCCCTCATCAGCTGCATGCAAAACAGAAAGCACTCTGAAACCCAGCACGGCTGCTTGGACCGTGGGAGGCTCTCTGAAAATGACTTCTTGTTGCATTTCTGTATATTTCATGTCTTTAGTGTCGACTATTATAACAAAATTAATTGAAAAGATTAAAAAGGTACAAGAATGCAGTTTTATGAGAGGAAGTTGGCTTGGTTTTACCCATATGTTTTCAGGCTCTGTTCCTAAAGCCCTTTAAAGATCATTTTTGTCTCTTCGCCAGGAATACTGCTTTTGCTTAAAAACAAATTTAATGCTAAAAATAAACCTTTCTCTGTTGCATTAGTAAGAAATCTCTGTGTCTGAACTATATCTAAGAGGTAAAAATACCTAGGCATTATTAGAGAAAAATCTAATATAAAACCTTCTAGCTTAGGAAATATTAAGGCAAATGACTAAAAATATTTTTTCTATGACTAAATTTAGGCTTATTATTTTATGTTGAGAGCTATCATCCCTTTCTTGTACATGTGTTGGCCATACCTTAAATTCTGTTATCTTCTGGATTTAAATATTGCATCCAACATTAATTTGGAGGGAAACACACTAAGATATATTTTATGACAATGGTGTAATGTTTCTGTTTTTTAATTCTTTTTTGGACTTCCCTATCAAAAGAAAATCCAATTTTGCACCATAAACATATGCACCCCCCAAAAAATTTCTCAAAGCATTAGATCTACCTACCCATACAATTAAGGAAATCACTTGTAAACATTGAATGGGGTAATTCAGTCAAGGGAGTGGTGAATGTGAATCACTATCATACTTTTTAAAAAATTTTTATTTTTAATATATCTTTATTCATTTCAGAAAGAGGAAGAGAGAGGGAGAGGAAGAGATAGAAACATCAAGGATGAGAGAATTGTCATTGACCGGTTGCCTCCTGCATGGCCCCTGCTGGGGACTGAGCCCGCAACCTGGGCATGTGCCCTGACCGGGAATCGAACTGCGGTCTCCTGGATCCTAGATCTATGCTCAACCACTGAGCTATGCCCGGCCCGGCAATCACTGTCATACTTTACTACTCATTTAATGATCATATAATTTAAAAATTAACCTTAATATTATGGAAAAAAGACATCAAATACTAAAAGTCTTGTTAATTAGCATAAGATGTAATCAAACCAATGAAGCCATAAATATTGAGAAGTTGTCAAGACCTTTCATTTGTGGTAGAAATTAATGAGATAAACCCGGTGAGGAGGAAACCAGATTTTTTAAGGAATCAGTCTCCATCAAATTCATAGTGGTGTGAACCAAGCAACCACGGTCCAAACCCATCTAATAGATGTGTGCATGTGTGTGTGTGTGTGCGCGCGTGTGCGTGCAATAAGTCAAGCACACCCAAAAAAGAGCTTCTAAATATTTTTTAAAAGTCCTTTTCTTTCATTTGGTGATCTTGAGTTATACTAATAAAGCTAGATCTTTTATTGTAGCAAAGAATCACAACTTTGTAAGTTTTATCTGGGGAGAGTTTTTAAAAATCAGAAGTGCTATGCTCTCACCCTCACAGATTTTGACTATTGATCCAGGCACCGGTGTTATTTTTATTGCCCGATGTTGCACAGCCACTAGCCTAGATGAATGATAAGAACTTGTGGACTGGACATTTTAGGCATGCCAATCTGCTTGGAATAAAAGATTATACAGGATGGAAAAAAGTAGTTCCTACTTGGAGAATTTCATTCTAACAAGGTGATGTATGAATAGAAGCATGAAAGAAATGAGGCAGCTACTTCTGCCCACATATAGGGAAATATGCCAATATGTAGAGGAAGGGCATTTCAAGAGCAGACACACAAGGACGCAAGCCCAAATAGGAACATGTTTGGTATGTTTGAGAAACAGGAAAGTGGTCAGTGTGGTTAGAACAGAGTGGGTGAGTGTGGGAGTGGTAGAAAAGAATCACAGAGATAATGGGGGGACATATCATAGGACTCTGTTTGCCATTAAAACAACTTTGACTTGTAGTCAAATGATATGAGAACTTAGATGACTTTAAACAAAAGAAATGATCTGAGAAAGGAGGAAGTGAGGTGGGTAAGGATCAGTTAAAGATCATAGGATCAGAGCATTATAGTATCACCATGTTTGCAAAATTGTCAGACTTGAGGTCCTGAAGGGTGAAAGCTGAAAAAATGGGAGATGGGGCACTTCTGCTCCTCAAGAGTAGTGTAGACCTGTTACAGATTGTTGGAGTATGTAGTAAGATTTATCATTATCTTAGGTTTCAACTATTTGGGAGAGTAGAAGCTAGTACATATCATATTTTAGATACTAAGATTCTCAAAATTGAGATTATGAAGTGGTTATTTGTATGACCATATAAGTGGGGAGCTGAAGCAGGGTAGTGGACAGGCTCACAGAAGGAGAGGAGGTGCGGGAACTGAAAGGTGAGGGAGCAGAAGCACCAGCTGTGTGGATATTGACCGACAGCACCAAGAACGGTGATAGAGTAATGTTGGCGAGAAGTCACAGTGAGGGGAGAGGGGTGAGAATCTTCTCAGGGCTCTAGGGCTAACTACAACAGAGAAGGTGGCAGATGGTACAATCTGATGTCATAAGCTTCAAAATTAGGTTGTACTGAGGGAGGAGAAACAATGAGATAGAAACAACTCAGGTACAGAGCCTACTTCAACTCTAGGCTCAATAGCACCAAGGAAGCAGGTGAGAAAGATACCATGACTTCTAGGGAATGTAAGGGAACTAATGTCTTCAGGGGAGATCCAGCTTTCTTTCTGTTAGAGCAAGAAGGTGAAGGGAGCCCTCAGAATCACTTCCCATAGATATAGCTGAATATTAGTGTAACATTTTAAATTATCCTTACAGTTGTGGCCCAGTTAATTCTGCCTAGTTGCTAGTACAACTAGCTTTCATTGTAATTGACATGAAATTTTAGTGAAGTGCTCCAAAATCCTATAGGATCCTATACTTTTAAGCTTCTGACTTCTGAATTTATTCTATCTTCTATAACATTCCTTCAAACTCCAAAAATCATTGATTGTTTTCAGGACTTCTGTTATAACACCTTGCTGGCCGGTCACCAGTAAACGCATGTTTCCGTGTCTAAACGTTGCTGAGATAACCAGTCAAGAGATAACTCGTGTCTGCACCTACATTAATTTAAGTAACTTTAAACACCTTGCTGACCAAAGTAGCTGGCTGCCCGGGCGAGTTCTGGCTTGAAATAGCCGGTCATTAACACATAGGTTGCCATTGTGTTGTGTGGGTCAAGTTCCCACCCTCTGTGTTGGAGCCTCACAGAAAGCGCCCTTATTTTAGGCTGACAGATTCCATACATCCCTGCCAGGTGCCTTTGAGCACATTGGTACATTTCTACTAAAGGTAAGTCTTGCTTTTAGGTTGGCCATACTTTCTTCTTTTATAACAAGACCTACATTTAGTTTGGCCATAATTTCTTTTAAAACACTGCTAATCCTCTTCGAATGCCCTAGCTTGACCTTTTAATTTGCTTTGTGTGGCATCTCTCTCTCTCTTTTTTTCTTTCACTATTTCATTGTTATTTTATTAACTTAAGGACATGCACCAAAGCACAGGTTTAGCACAATGTTTGCCTTATTCCATACAGTCATCTTCATTCCTATTTTACAGAGCTGGCAGTTCATCAGTAAATCAAAGGAGTGATTTCCATCTTCTAAGAGCTGTTACTCGGTGGCTTATTCTGTTGGTGGAACTTGTGTCTCAACAGCCTGTGAAGTTCGAGTGCGTGAACCCAGCGCCTGGAGTTGCTGATGTTCCTCATTCCCAGTTCCCAAGGCGGCTTCCCTGCTTAGTCACTTCTCGTTGTTGCCTCCAAACTCGCCTCTTGTTTTGTTTTTATCTTCATTGTTAAAAATATTACAGATGTCCCCTTTTTTCCCCTCCATTGATCCCCTCCATCCTGCATCTGCCCCACCCCCAGGCCTTTCCCACACTATTGTCTGTGCCCATGGGTCATGCATTTATGCATATAAGTTCTTTGATTAATCTCTCCCCACCTTCCCTCTGAGATCCCTCAGTCTGTTCCATGCTTTCATGTCTCTGGATCTATTTTGTTCATCAGTTTATTTTTGTTCATTATATTCCACATATGTGTGAGATCATGTGATACTTGTCTTTCTCTGCCTGGCTTATTTCACTTAGGATAATACTCTCCAGGTCCCTCCATGCTGTCCCAAAGGGTAAGAGATCCTTCTTTTTCACAGCTGCATAGTATTCCATGGTGTAAATGTCCCACAGCTTTTTTATCCACTCATCTACTGATGGGCACTTGGGCTGTTTCCAGATCTTAGCTATTGTAAATTGTGCTGCTATGAACATAGGGGTACATAAGTTCTTTCTGATTAGTGTTTCAGGATTCTTAGGATATATTCCTAGGAGTGGGATCACAGGATCTAGTGGCAGTTCCATGTTTAACTTTTTGAGGAACCTCCATACTGCTTTCCACAGTGGCTGCACCAGTCTGCATTCCCACCAGCAGTGTAGCAGGGTCCCCTTTTCTCCACAGCCTTGGTGCGGCATCTCTTTATGGTCTTTAAGATATTGGTCTTCCACTCTAGTATCAGTGCCATGCTGAGCCCTATTGGAGCTTGAGGCAAAAGGAACTATCAGTAATATTGATTTTATCTTTATTTAAAATTTTAATCTTTTCACCATGGATTATTTTGCATTAGTTTGCCTGAAAATATTGCGCTAAAACATTATTTATCTTGATTATTGAGTTTTTTGGCACCCTCTAAAATTGCCTGAAGTGAGTGTCTCGTGCCTCACTTGCCTTACTTTAATCCTGGCCTGTCTAGTGGATTAGACTGGACATTACTGAGCATATGGGGAGGGAATTTGGGGGAGAATGGGGGCCAGCATGAACTCAACATGAGCTTGCAAAGTTTGCCTAAAGTTAGGGGAGTAGTAGGCTCAGGCAAAAGAGTTTTTAGGAAGTGCTTTTAGTTGGGTAGTTCCAATCAGCATCTCACTTTGATCATGTACGTGTGGTTGCTATTACAATAGTAGGGCTTCTACTGTATGGAACAGAGTGAAAATATGCTAGTCACTCACTCGACAAGAAGTACTTCAACTCCTGGCTTAAAACTTGTAGAATTTAAAAGAAGTCCCATAAAGGCCAGCGTAAGGAATCCAGAGATTTCAAGTAGCTCACCTATTTTTAAAAAGAAATAAATATAAAGTATTAATTTTACCAGGGATGAAAATGCAGTGGTACCTCGGTTTTCGAATGTCTTTGTTGACGAACATTTCGGTTTCCGAAGGCGGTAAACCCAGAAGGAAATGCTTTGGTTTTCCAACCCGCCTTGGAAGTCGACCATTCCCCGCAGCTTTCACTGAGGGCAAGTTTTATATTCTTTATTTTAGTTCTGGCTAGAAATGGTACCTAAGCCAGAAACTAACACCTTAGTTAGTTTTGAATCCTGAAAGAAGAGGAAGGTGTGGACATAAGGTGTTAAGGCACTCTGGTCTTGGACTAGTCATTGTAACTTATTTGGTAATGGTAAAATTCGGGAACTATTTATGATGGCTACTATGAAGATACTAAAAATATAAGCATTAAGCCAGGACAGAGTGAAAGTCCTTTTACATTAGATTTATATTCACCCTGTATCTTGTTTTCATAAATTTTTGTCCTAGAAGTCTTCTTTCTAAAATGTTTATTGAGAGATATTTTGACTCAATGTTTATTATTTCCTTGGGTATAGCCCTTATTTTTGAGGTTATGCTTGTTTACTAAATGATGTTAGAGGAAATTATATTTGCTGGAATATATTTTTGCAGGAATTTAGGTGTACACAATTTAAGTAGTACATGACAAAGTACTTGTATTGACTGGTCATTTTCTCACTGTCCATTAATTCATTAACTCGATCCTGTAACATCAGTAGATTGTAATTGGCTTTAATTCACTAATTCGGAAACCTCAAAATCCTACATTCTGCCTTTCTTTCCTCAGATATGAAAATAACAAATCCTGTTATGTTAGTACTTCTAAAAGAGGAGTTTTTTCTGTCTCATTTTATTCAGATTTTATACTTCTTAGTAAACTTTTAGTAAACAGTTTTCTGTGTAGGCCCAAACTTCTGGATAAGTTTATTCCTTGATATTTTATAAGTTTTGCCAATGTAAACAGAATCAAATTTTCATTATATTTCCTAACTAGTTACTGCTGACTTATAAGGACACTACTGATTTTTTTATATTAACTTTATATCAAGCTATTAAAAAGTATTACTAGCTTAGTTTATTAATTCCCTTGAGATTTCTATGTAATCAAAAATGTTGCTACTAATATAATTGTTTCTCTTTCAAAAGATGTATAAACTTCCTTCTTTTTTTCTTATTGTACTACCTAGAGCTTCCTGAACAACTTTTAATCTTGGGCATGAGAATGGGCAACATTGTCTTATTCTTAAATGTAATGGAAATACATAGTTTAAGTTGTTAACTAGGTATTATCACATATGCCAACTTCAAATCATTTGTAGAGCTATCTGAAGAGCCAGGCTGAACGTGATTCTGAGGCTATATCAGGAAATAGTGATATGGCTAATTACCAATACCCGCCACACCTCCATGAGAAGAAAGTGGTGGTAAGTGGATTAACAATAATTTGTTTTATAATATGTAGCCTTATTTGATCCATAATTTCTATTTTTATTTTCTTTTTGATCTTAGAGTTACCAAGAAAAGTATATTTAATGTTAGGCAGTTAGAATGATATTTTTTAAGACCCTCCTTTTGTGGTTAGTATTTAATTGCATTGTGGTTTTAGAATTTTATTGAAATGTTCTTGTAGTTTAGTTTTATTTCTGCATATGGTCTACAGGTATATGTAAAGGATATGCATTATGTTTTGGAAAGGAAAACTCTTTACATCTCTTGCAAACCACATATTTAAGTTTTTATTTAAATCTTTTTATAGCATACTAATTTCTCTCTTAATTGGTTATGAAATTACAGTAGCTGGGAAAGTCATACTAGAATATCTCAATGTAATTATGAGCTTTGTCAAATTCTCCTGTTTAGTAATGGTATTTCCTTTATATATTTTGTCATACTGTTTTCTGTCATGTAGATACTAATATTTTTATCTCTTTTGATAGAATGTTTTAACAAAAAGATTCCTTCTAGATCAGTTAAGTTGTTTTAAACTAACTTTTGCCTGGTATGTTGATTGTGGATTTTTATCTTTGATATCTTTATTTTTAATTTTTCTATATGATTTAATTTTAGGGATAGGCCCCTCACTTACAAATAAAATAGATGAGGTACACAACTGAAACGCTGAGACTTATATGATTGACATCATCACCAAAAACAGTAGACATCCACAACTGAATCAGTTTTGCACATAGAATTCCTAACAAGAAACTTGTTAGATAGTATGACAATATTGGCTCCATGATGCTATATGCTGCAAGAAAGGGGAGAAAAAAAATAGTGAATAAAACTTACTTAATTTTAACTGATGCTATGAGTCAACTTTCCTTTTTGTCATTATCTTTAAAAACCGCTCATTCATACCCTTTAAGGTAGATGTAGGGTATTTTAATATTCCTAAATTGAAAATTTCTTCTCATATTCTGAAAGCCACACTTAAGTTTATAAAAGTCAGTCAGTTTAGTTAAGAGCTTCTTTCAGTCCCCATTAAGGAATATATACATTTATTCAGTACCAAACAGTATAATAAATTTTGGAGATATGGTAATGGACAAGAGGTAGAAAATCTCTAAACCCATGTACTATATTCTAGATCTAACATAAGACACAGAGGCAGCACAGAGTGAGTCTCCTGTATTGCCCTGACCTGCAAACCAACTGGTTCCTTACTGCTCCACAGTTCATGTTTTCCAGATTTTCCCCTGATAAATAATGCTGCAGTGTATACTTCTGTACATAATTTTTTTGTACTTCTCTGATCACTTCCCTTAGGCCCTAGAAGTGGAATTATGCACTAAAGGACAGTTACATCTTTGATATTGTTATATTTTGCCAAATTGCTTTCTATAGTCATTACGATGCCCCTTCCTGAAAAATAGGAAGCCTAAGTCTCCAATATATTCCTTTGCTGGAATCAGGCATGCCAGTGGGTGAGAAAGTCCTCCCCACGTTTACAGGTTGCATTTGAATCACAGAGGAGCAGAATTTGAATCACAGATGAGAGTGGGTCCTGGGGTCAGAAAAGCCAGCTCCCACAGGAGAGCAAGAACAAAACCACAACAAAGAATGGCCAGCAGAAAACAGCAACAGCGAACACAACAAAAACAAGGCTAAATTTGCCGGTAAGTCCTAGAACTGTGCTGAGCTGGCAAAATGAGGGAGAAAGAATTTTTTATGAATCCTTGTGTATAAATGTCCACTGGGCAGGGGGACGCTATGAAGAGTACCAATGAGATTTAGATTCCTTCTTACCTAACATCATTCCCATGGCTGAAAGGGAGCCCTGGTTTCTACATGTGCCAAAGATTTAACATCTGTAGGGACAGTGTGAACATGGGAGGAGAGTTTCATGAATGGCCCTCTACGTCACATCTGATCCAGCATGGATTTAGCCATGTTGATAATTTTGGGAATCCAGTAACTGAAAGAAAGGAGGCCGACTCTGGTTTCACAAGGATGCAGGGAACTGGACTTAAAAGAGCCAGTGTGAAAATTGCTTTCACTTTTAAGAAAGGAAAATAGCTTTTAATCAGTAAAATGCTTGCTGAATAGATTTATTAGGCAGGAAAATCCTCAGAGCAAATTTATTATTTCTTACAGTGTTCATAAACTTTTCATACTCAAGTTGGAACAGGTAAGAACTCTGAGAGCAATAACTTTTCCTAATATTTCCCTCTTATGAAACATGTGCTAACTTTAAAGGCAAAGCAACTGTTCAAATAAGTTATAAAAATAATTACGGTGAAAATTATGTCACAATTGCGTCAATAGATAACAATGAAATATCGGTTAAGCTTACTAAGTTTCTTCCTTAATGGAAATTTTTCTTTCAAAACTGTTAAAAATTCAGAAAGCCCTAAAGGCTAAGAAAATAAGTTCACTATTCACTACAGCAGAACTTTAGTGAATTGTAATCGTTTCTATTATATTTTAGTAGGGTGATTGCTTACAATTTTTACTTCTCTGAAATGTAAACAAATGCATAATTGGGTTTCATTTATTATTATCAAAAGCATGAGGCAAGCTGTATGAAAGCAAGGATTACTAGGGTCCTGGCTGAATCACCGGGGCCTAGAATAAGAACTATAACATTGTACATATCAAGAAATAATTGTTGGATTAATGAATGAACTTCTACATCAGTACCTTTCTTTTATTTTTATTTTTTCCCCCCTTCTCTTTCCAGTGACTATAATATCGAGAAAGTTCTCTTGATTAGACTGTAGATGTCATCTCTGACATGGTTCCCTGAAANTGAATGAACTTCTACATCAGTACCTTTCTTTTATTTTTATTTTTTTCCCCCTTCTCTTTCCAGTGACTATAATATCGAGAAAGTTCTCTTGATTAGACTGTAGATGTCATCTCTGACATGGTTCCCTGAAATTCTGTGGGCAATATTCATTATCTTAAATGAGGCCCGGTAGAATACTGGACCAGGTTTGTAGGCTGGGCAAGGATCCTTCTGACTATTATGCAAGACTGTACTTCTTTGCATTTTTCAGTTTCCCCCAAGGATGGTCCTTGAGTTTTTAAGATGCTTCTGAATATAGATAATCAAGGGATCTCTTTGTTGATCCCTTGAGTCATTTTCAGGAAGACTTTATGAGCAGGAAGTTTTAGGGTGAAAGTCCCTGATTATTACTACATCATGTCACATTCCTTTTTACTCAAATTTTGGAAGAGGTTTATGTGTGTAGTGGTTTGGCTTTCTCATACACCGCAGATCACATACATGAAGCATTTTAAGAGAATGTACTTTCCTGTGGGGTTCTAGGTTCGCCACAGATGTTCCAAGATGCCATAGCCTGGGTAAACTAATTGGATACAGAGCAAAACTAAAGGTGAGTGCTTCTTGTGCCCAAGTAGGATAATTGTCCACCATGTGGACCAGCTCCCTTGAAGAAGAAATAAGAGATTGATGGTCCCCTGAGTGTTTGGAAAGGTAATTTGGGTTATGTTTGGTTGTTGGGAGGGGGGTAGTAGAAGGATCCCACTTCAACATGATTGATTGTTTGGCATCATGCAGACCCCTTGGTATACCAGAACCTGGTCTGGAAGCACCTCCTAAATACTCCTTTTTCAGGGGCTAGGCAGGTAGAATGCGAAAATGCTGCAAAGGCCTTGAACACAGAAGACATCCAGTGAGTGGAACAGCTGCACATCAGCAATTTGCTCCAGAAGACTAGTCATTGTTCTTCCAAAATCAGTGCAAATGACAACACAGTAAATAAGGTAAATAACTTCTTAGTGGTATTATGAAAATATCTGACTTTATTGACAACCTTAAAGGGTCCTGTGGACTACCTCCCCCCAACCCAGACGCTACACTCTAAGAACCACTATTCTAGGAGAAAGGTGTGGGGTTTTGGTCAGAGAGCAGCACATAAGATACTTTTGGATATACCAGGAACACTGCATTTCTTGTCCTGAGTGATAATTACACATACATCATTTATTTTATACACACACACACACACACATATTATTAAAGAAAAAATACTTATGGTTCAGGGCTCTCCGAATGTGGTAAAGGAGCTCACGGGCACCTTGCAACTTCTCTGCTTGCAGGCACTGCTTTCAGGCCCTGTAGATGACCGTGTAGCTCACACTGCCTCCCTGAGCTCACAGCCTTCTCTGTTGCCCGCAGGGCCACAGTCCCAGGAGAAAGGGAAGGGAAGCTGCCTCTTCTCATCGCTGGTGAATGCACTCACTACCTGGCTTATCTTCGGAGTTCATCTTCAACACATCAACACCTCATTCTTACTGTCAGGTATAGTGGTTTAGCCTCGGCCTGTGCAGGAATGCTGCTTTTATAAGCATCTTCATGAAAGTCCCAACTCACAGCACAACAAAATTACAACTACCGTTCAATAAGGGATGTGTTTTGTAAACACATGTAGTGCTTTTTAAAAGGTAAATCACTATACTGATACTCACAGTTATGCTTGTACAAGTATAACTTGTGATGAGGTATTACAAAATTGATTTCAGTTTTCAGAAAATAGAAGTTTCTCTTAAGAAATTAAGGAAAAAAAATAGGTCCTTACCTAAGGAATGGTTCATACTTTTCAGGTCTGTGTTAAATTTCAAAATACTAGCATACACATTAAAAGACATTATAGCAGTCATCAGACTTTCTCCATTAATTAAATTGATGAGGCCTCTAGAAAGACCTATGGAAGGAAAAATATTTTGGGTGAAAAAGATAAAAATTTTATTAGCGAGTAGGAGAATATTCTTAGCTATGGATGTACATCACATAATTTTCCTACATACTTAAATAAACTTTAGTCATGTTTGGAAGCTCTCTTCAAGAAAATTTATTTATATATTAACTGTAGTTATATCTAGACCATCATAATTAGGTACCAAATTAACTGTGCTTGATTATGGTTTATGCAATTGCAATAATAATCTATAGCTCTCATTCCTTGTTTCAAAGCAGATGAAAACATAAATTCATTATTTTTTAATTCAGTGATTTGGCCTATATAAATACTTACATTGTGGATATACGGCAAGATCAAAACCAATGACAGGATAAAGTAAATTCATAAACCAAGGCTTTATAACACTGCACCTAAGTGAAAGATTAAGGCAATTGTCCAGATACTCTCACTATAATAGAAATTGTCTGCTTTTCCCATACATCCATTTTAATGGGTTTAGAAATCTAGCTCCATGAATGAAGAGCGCCCTGATATTATCTGCTTTGATTCTAATTTTTCTTCATTTATGATATCCTAAGTTTAGATAGCAATCAATTACCATTTTTCTGTGCTATTAAATATGCCTCTAGTGGCAAAAGTATAACTTGGAGCAACTTTGATGATTTTCCACATTCCCATAGGAAAGAAACATTATTGCAGGGTAAAAGCCCTTCCTGTGAACCAACCGTTCTATAGCTGTGATCAAAACCTCACACAGTAAGAACGCTCCCTGGAGAGAAGAAAAGCAGGGCGGCCTGTTCTTGTGGAAGCTCGACTGCCTGGACGGTTCTCTCCTTCGCCTATCCCTGAACCTATGCCCTTCGCTGTGAGACTTTGCAGTGTCTCTCACCAAGAGGCCCAGTCTGTTTTGTTATTGAAACTGTGTGCAAGCAGAGGCTTGGGGAAAATTTCTGCTTTCTCTCTCTTGGACTCCTGTCACTATCGTGGCAGCATTTCCTGGCTACCCTACTGGAGGAATGTGAGAAATGCTTGGAAGAAACATGGATCCTCCTAGTCAAGGACATCCTAGATCACTCAGTGTCCAGGTGACCTTCCAGCCAACTGTAAATTTATTAATGAGCCTCGCCAAGATCAGCAGAGCCTAACCCATATCATCAGAACTGCCAAACTTAGGAGAAATAACACATAATTGTTTCAAGCCACCGTTTTGGAGCTGTTACTCAGAAAAACCTGGTATTCTTGTATAATTATTTTGTTTTAGAAAATAGAACTATAACAAAATGTGAATATTTGGAAATAAATAATAGAATAAGGAGCATAAGAGAAGTCAACAGACCAGAAAAATCTCAAGACAATGTGAATGTACTCATGTACTCTACTCATAGGCCTGCGCAGATTTTCTTATTTCTTTTATTTTTCTTTTTTCTTTTTAGAATAAAATTTTAAAATGTTAGAATCTTGCTTTGAAAATGCAAACAAAAATATTTCCAAGAGAAAAATACTTTATTTATTTTTTAAATGATACAAAGTGAGGAGAAAAACAAAGTTCCAAAAGTAATGGCAAGAGGGCTAACATTTACAAGAATAACCTTGCAAATTAACCCAAATAAATTATTTAAATTCAACAATGGTAGGGCAGGGCACCAGCAGAATGCTAACTAGATTATCAGATTATAAAGTTAAAGGAAATATGGAATGTTCTTGTTAGCATAGAACTCCCCCAAATCTTTTAAGTTGAGAAGAGGCTGGTACTGACAGGGTCCCATAGGGTAAGGTGAGGTGATAGATGCTAGTACTTCCTTCTAAAGTCCACCTCACAATCTTAGTCTCCTTGCTTTGAAGTTTGGCTTTCCTTTATTCATATAGATACACTTGATGTGTCTCCCTTACTCTATTTCTACCTGCCTCAGACAGTTCTTTCTCCTTAAACTGGCCATAAAATAAAGTGTGTGTGTGTGTGTGTGTGTCTATAGACACACATGCAGGTGTGTGCCATATAAAAATTCTATTTTTAAACAAATGTTATAGTTCTTGTTATTAAAAAGTGACTGGGGGAAAACAAATTAAGTTATTGTTTTTCTTGAATGAGGCTCTCAGATTTGTAACAGGTTATGTTGATTTAGTATTTTACTTTGAAATTATACACACACACACACACATATACACACACACACATATATATATATAAATATAAATGTATATATCTCCAGAATAGTATACACACTGACATACTGTATGATTGGTGATTTTATCATTTTGTACTTTTTAGGCTTTTGGTTCAAATGGTGACATTGACTCCAAAGACAATTTTTTATTTTTATTTTTGGCAAATGGCCTTATCTTAATGACAGTTTTTTCAAAGGAAAAGAGGTATTGGGCAATAGAAATGTCACCACAATGTATATGCAATATTGTAAAGCACCCAAAACTGTTCTGTTGGTTCAAGGTAGAAGCATGGATAAAGTAGTCAAGAATTCCAAATAACCCCCTGCTCTATTCTATAACTGAATATAAGACTTTGAAAAATATATACTAAGTAAGCCCATCGCTGGAATTTTGCTCTGTTTTAAACATCACCACCCAAATTTCTATGCTCAATCCCAATGCCCCAGTAACACACTTCACATCTTGAAGAGCTACAATGAACAAAAGATCTTAAAANAACACACTTCACATCTTAAAGAGCTACAATGAACAAAAGATCTTAAAAATAGACAAGTTAAATACAGAATATGATAGTTTAAACATGGGAAAGGAGAAAAATATACCTACCAAGGTCTCTTATAGCAGCTGCAGTCAGCATGGGATCTGAACTCATAAGGATAGTTGAAAATAATAACCATGGGCTGGTTCTCAAATTTAATTTATTCACAGATACCAGATATGAAAGAATTAAGGCATAATTGATAAAATATCCAGGAACTGTAATTAAAATTATCTGCAAAGAAATTTTACAGATAGAAAAGTTAGATTGACTTTATATTTCATTTTTAAAAAGCAGACAAGCAGGATTATTGAAGATGTACAATCACACTCAACCCATCAAAGGAAATTTTAAGTTATTTTATTTAACAACTATGTGCTTGCAACTCTGGAAATAAAAGGCATATATTGCAATGAGATGCCTAGGACCTAAGAAGTACCATATCATAATTAAAAAATAAACGTTCAGTTTTCTTGATAAGGCTATTAAATATACATATGTATGTATGAGGTATATACATACATACCATATAGACATACACATTTGACTGTGTGTAAAAACTGAGACATAGTCTATAACATAGGAAAAAAAGAGCACAAGTTTAAATAGAAGTGTCAAAAAAGAAAAAGAAAGAAAATATGATAACAGAAAAATGTAGGGAAATGGCACAGAACTATAGAAAAGATGGAAAGAAAAATTCTGTTATTTAAGGTCTGAAAACCTCCCTGCCTTCTGTGTTCCCACCATCGCCTTCTACTTTCTCTTATTTTACCTGTAGTGGTTTTATTTTATTACCAATTTTATTGCTTTATTTTATTAGCAATTTTATTACCAAATGGACTTGGGAAAATGTAGTGATTGTGCCTGAATTCATGTGTAAGAATTCAGAATTGCACCCCCATGTTCACTGAGGTATTTTTTACAATACCCAAGACATGGAAACAACCTTAAAATGTCCACCAACTGATGAATGAATAGAGAAAATGTGATATATATGCAATGAAATATTATTCAGCCTTAAAAAAAGGAGCCCAGCAGGCATGGCATCAACTCATAATCCAAGAGATACTGGTTCAATTCCCAGTCAGGGCAAAAGCCAGGTTGCTGGCTCGATCCCTAGTGTGGGGCTTTCGGGAGGCAGCCAATCAACGACTCTCTCATCACTGATGTTTCTATCTCTCTCTCTCTCTCCCTTTCCCTTCCTCTCTCTGAAATAAATAAAAATATATTTTAAAAAAAAGAAAAAGGAAATCTTGCCATTTGTGACAATATGGATAGACCTTTAGGGCATTATGCTAAGTGAAATAAGTCAGACAAATAAAAAATAGCGTATGAATTCACTTATATGTGGAATCCAAAAGAGATAAANGTAAAAATATATTTAAAAAAAAAAGAAAAAGGAAATCTTGCCATTTGTGACAATATGGATAGAACTTTAGGGCATTATGCTAAGTGAAATAAGTCAGACAAATAAAAAATAGCGTATGAATTCACTTATATGTGGAATCCAAAAGAGATAAAAACTGAACACATAGATACAGAGAACAGGTGAATGATTGTCAGAGGCTNTTTAGGGCATTATGCTAAGTGAAATAAGTCAGACAAATAAAAAATACCGTATGAACTCACTTATATGTGGAATCCAAAAGAGAAAAAAACTGAACACATAGATACAGAGAACAGGTGAATGATTGTCAGAGGCTGAGGGCGGGGGATGGGTGAAATGGATGAAGGGGTCAATAGGTACAAAATCCCAGGTATGAAATAAATAAAACATAGGAATGTGCTATACAGCATGGTGGCTATAATTAATACTGCCATGTTGTATATTTGAATGTTAATTAGACTTATTTTGATGGTCATTTTGAATATATTCAAATATAAAATCATTATGTTGTATACCTGAAACTAATATAATGTTGCATATCAATTATCTCAATTAAAAATATAAAATAAAAGAGTAATTGTAATGATTTTATAATAAGGTTGTGAAATGCTCTTACTGCCTTCTGTTTGTTTAACTCTTTCACTTGTAGAGAGACACTCGCTCAGAATGAACTGGGGAATGAGTACTGGACTCTCATGCAGGAGGCCCTGGTGCAGGTGCGAGCGCCGAGTGATTTTGGTTAAGTCACTTGATCAAACATCTCTAACCCGATTTTAGAAGTGGCAGAACCATGGTAGAGTGTTTACGGGGCACTGCTAAGAGGGGTCTTCTGTGGATAAAGCCTGATGATAGCATCAGAATAGTGAAAGAAATCAGGGCCCTGTAGATCAGTTACTTCTAGGGTGAGTCAGTTCTAATTTTTAAGGTTTTAGTGGTCAGGATTGCTGTATTACTGACTCTTGTTCCAAGGAACAAATTAAAATAAGGCTCTGAGACGAGAGGATTGCAGGTCAGAAGGCCCAAATCCTTCCACCACATAGCTGTTGTTGATACGTCAATAAATCACATGGCATGTGGTTTGCAAAAGTGGCTGCAGTGATTCTGCTTCCTGAAGCCACACCATTGGGTAGCCATCTCCCACTCTGACTCTGGGTCAGTCCTGTGATTCATTTTGGCTAAAAGGAATGAGAGCAAACATGATGCGAGGAGAAACTTAAAAAGCGCTGGCAAATTCCAGCTTTCCCTCTCCTGCTGATGTTTGAGACTCTGCACCCACCATGCGAAGAAGCCTAAGATAACCTCCTAGGTGATGAGATATATGTGTGGCAGTGACACCTATTGCCTACAGCCAACACTAATAGCACCAACCAACAGACACACGAGTGGGCCCTCCAGCCATCCAGCTCATCTGCTGACTCGGCAGACCTCCAGAGTTAAACAGACTCAGCAGACTCAGGAAGCAGGTTGCCAGAGATCACCAGAACCGGGCCAAACTACTTTTATATATCTCTTCTTTTCTTTTTTAAAAAATATATCTTTATTGATTTCAGAGAGAGGAAGAGAGAGGGAGAGAGAGAGAGAGAAACATCAACGATGAGAGTGAGTCATTGATCGGCTNCGATGAGAGTGAGTCATTGACCGGCTGCCCCCTGCACACCCTCAACTGGGGGGTCGAGCCCGCAACCCGGGCATGTGCCCTGACCCAGAATCGAACCACGATCTCCTGGATCCTAGGTCGATGCTCAACCACTGAGCCACACCTGGCAGGGCCATCTCTTCAATTTCATTTTTTGGTCATTTGTCTGACCTCCATTTTTTTAGACTCATTTTTCTGTTTCAAGTATACATTGTTTTAATAGTTTTGCTTCTAAGTAGTTTAGGTAATGGCCTTATGTTTACAAAATTGTTTTAATCACTTTGAAAGAAATGCACCCCTGCTTAAGATCTGGAGCAATTTTCCTCAAGGGCTTTCCTTGATGAGGTCCAAATCTGACACAATTAGAAAAAAATGGTAACAGTTTGTAAGTTAGAGTTATGGCTGTTTCTTGTCCTTTTCTTCTGCATGTGGGGTGGGAAGTCCTAGAAGGTGAGCTTTTAAAATATAACTTTTATTAGCAATTTTTTTTTACTAGACTTAATGGATTTCATGACAGCTCTCTCATAGCATGTCAGAGTTAAAATTATAACCAGCGTTAAGTTCTACCACTCAGATGTTCAGAATTACTTTTCTCCTCCATAATTTTTTTACCTGAGTCTTCAGGATACTAAACATTTGTCACTAAAATATAAAGTTGATTTTACTTCTCCCTCACCTCGTATTTTTCCCCTGTCTTCTTCGTTTTCTAATCTGAAGCAAAAATTTTAAAAACCTGAACATAGATAAAATGTAGTGGCTTATGAGCGAATGATATTATTGAAAAAGAATACTTTTTACCTGCCAAAATAACTTCTGGAACATGTAAACATCCAGGTCAAATGCAACATTAAAGATAATTATTGGTGTAAATAAATCAAAAAACAAATGTGGGCTCATCCATTGTACGGCATCTGTATATTGTAGAACCTAATAATATAAAAAATATGTCACTTATCTATCCTTCTATTAGCATAGACTACATGATAAATACTCCAATCTCCAGCAAAAGGGGAAAACATACATCATAATATAATTACAGTAAGTGCCAACGTCTTAACTCTGTCAGATTTTTATAACTTTCTATCAGATTATTACCAATTATAGTGGAAAGTTAATGCGCATATCTATGTCCATTTCATTTTTTTAAAGAAAATAAATAGGAAGTACATTTGCATGGGCACTAGAGACTATCTGGCAGATTTTCAGACATACAAGAGGAAGGAAGATATTTCAGGTAGATGGATTATCATGCACACAATCCACAAAGGAGTAAACAATCACATCCAATTCTAGAAACTACAAATAACCAGCCATGGCTTAAATAGCAGTTGTGTGTGGAAGAATAACAGTGTGTGGGCGATTAATGCAGCTCAGGAAATAACTAATGGTGTTTATCACAAACTATTGAATTGGTATTTATAAATTTTATTATGGGCATCCATTAATGTCCACTCAGCACGGAAACCCTGAGAACCTGCTCAGCTGGGTGAGATCTACACATTTGGGAGCTGATGCTCTTGGCCTCTTGTGCTTCTGTGTCCTGAGTGGAGGCGCTGACTGCCTTTCTTCCAGACTTTCTTTTCCAGAATATTTGAGTGAATAACAAGTTTGGAAGGTAGAACAAGTGTTTCTCTCCAGAGCAAGGGGCAGATTTGGT